CAGTGGACAAATCATCTGCATGCCCAAAGACCTATGTCCAAAGATCCAACCAAATAGCCATCTGCAGAAAGAAACCCTGCAACCAACCCCCCCTGGAAGCTTCCAGGACATGGTCTTTTCCTGAGACATCAGGGAGCTGTGTCAGATGTCCTGCTATGGGCGGGTCCTTTTTGAGGGCGCCCGGTGCGCCTTTTTTTTTGGCGGGTTTTGAGGAAAGCCAAAAGGAACACCGCCATGTTCCGGGGATCAAAAGACGCCCTACTATAGTGGGAATGTTGACCCAAAATTAATCAACGGCGTGGAGGAACACCTCTCCAAAAGTGGTCTGATTTCTCAGTGACACCGCCCTATTCATAAACTGGGGTTGATTAATGTGGGGTCAACAAAAACAGCTCCCTTTGCACAGTTCGTGGTCAAAACTTGCCAGCAAGCGTGACATCTGTGTTGCGTTCCGGCCAAGTCTTCTCATGGGAGACTGGACATGTGGGTGTCGTTTTTGCGGGGCACCCATCCCACATCGCGGTTTCCCCATGGGGTTCCTTTTTAAACCAAAGAAGACGAGGGCATCCTTACAAAAAGACAGACCCATTTGGCTTCTCTTCTAAAGACACAAAGTCGCAGCACCCACCATTTGCTGGTTGGAAACTTCTGGTTACCCGCTATAGTGGCAACTGGAAGAACTGGGTGGAATATGCAGGCGCACTAACATGATAGCTGATAGCTCAGCTTCGTCCTCGTTCTTAGCTTCATGTGACTCCGAGATACTGAAGAAGCGGACTTCTTTCTCTGCCTGAAAAAGGTACGCTCATGAAGGCCTCATTCAGAGCTTAATAAGGGCTGATCTGGGCTCCACCCTTCCCCCCCCTCCACTCTCATGATACACGAAACCGCCCTTGGCTTTCCGCAGAAGAGTGCCGCAGGCCAAGCAAGACCTCGCCAGTGCCCTACGGGAGGAGAAGCAAACCAACGAGGCGCCGCGCTCTTTTGGTCAAAGTCGTCGACCTTTTTTTTGTGGAATACCCCGGTTACCAGGAGACCCAAACACCTCTAAAAATGTCATACCCACCAAAAAACATGATGTTTCCACTAGGGCACGACAAATTTACAGGTTTTTGAGACTCTAGGTAGTGGCAAAAGAACAGTGTACAGTTCTAGTGACTACATCACTCAGGATGTGAGTGCCAAGTTTTGTAGTTGAAACACAAGGCACCTCGTTGAAATCTCAGCTTAGGTTGGCTAAAGAAACTTGGACACCCCTCAAGAACTTCTACTGAACACTACGACACTAGCTCAGGCTTGGTTGCTTGGCTAACTTCTAGAATTTCCTGGAGGTCGACATCATACCCTGAAAAGAGCGGGGTATTTGGGGTACGGCGTAAGTTTATGATTTATGCACTCTGGACAACAATATGCCAGTAGGCCGCTAGGGGTCAGGGGACCCTTGGCTTCGCCAGTGCTACTTTGAGATCAACAACCAACTTTCACGGTGCCTGAAATTCCACCTGGAGTCTCCGTGACCCGTAAAACTGGGTCAATGACCAGCCATTATTTTGGGTAATGACCAACCATTTGTTATTCGGGTCATGGAGACTCCAGGCAGAGGTACAACTACTTAAGGGACACACTAAGTTGCGTGTGTGAGGGGTACACCTAGAATTTCCTCTCGGTGTCTATGATCGCGGGGCTTTGGCAAAATGTGCCGATTTCAGGACCCCAACGTCAGGCCGGCCCCCAAGGGTCAAATTCTTCTTGCAGGTTTTGGGACTGACTCACTTTCCACAGGGGCTCGATACGTCAAACCCAAATTGACCATCGGGTTGTCCATGCCCAGTGCTTCCAGTTCAGGTAGCCAGGGTATACAAGGAACCCTATCAAAGGCAAACCTCCTGTCCATTTTAACCAAGCCCCCTTAAAATCACGCACTTGAGGCTTCTCCGACTGGGTCAAATGTTGGCTTCTATATGCATGACCGTGGAATGGTCGGGAACTGAGCGGTTTCCCTTCAATTTCCAGGTCCTCCAGTAGAGAGGTTAGCACAAGGGGCCCAACTTTTTTCTGCACTCTATTTTAGTAGGGGAACAGAATCTCCCAACCCAAAAAGCGTCAGAAAGGGCAGCTAGCTGGGGGACCTAGATGTACTTGGGAAAATCTCTGCCGACGATCGGATGGTTGGAGCGATCCTGGGGGGTGGGGGAGGCAGACGTTGGGCTCGCTTCGCAGCCGCTTGTTTCACTCGCTGATACCAGGTTCCCCAACTAGGTGCCCTTTCTCACCATTTCTTTTGGTTGGGAGGGTTCCCCTACTAAAATAGACAGCAGAAAAAAGTTGGTAGCCATATTCTAACCTCTCTACTGGAGAACCTAGCTGGAGTCTTCTCCCGATTCAAACATGGGTTGCCATTCCCCATTCTGTTCAACGTTCTTTCCCAAAACCGGATCCGTTTTCCCTGGGTTTCTGGGCCATATTCCAGAAACAAGGATCCCTGGAAAGAATGGAAATGGAAGGTACCCCTGGAATTTCTAAGGGTCAAAAGGCTTCGACGCCAGGTAGGCCAATCTCTGCAGGAGCTGAGGTCAACATTCAACCCTTGGCTTAGGGAGAATCCACTGATGACAATGAGACAGAAGAGATTTGAGCTAAGAGTGGGCTCACATTTCCCCGAGGATCCTTTTATAGGAATGATGTATGTTGGTTGGTGAACTAATGAATTTGACTGACACTCATGCCAATAAGTTAGTACCCCCTCACCAGTGTTGATCTGTTCCCTTCACTCAGAACGGGTTCAGGGTTCCCCTTTAAAATCAAACAAGGATGCATGGAACTCCATTGGCGATCTAAGTCTAGGTCCCCCAGCAGTGCCCTTTTACCTTTCTTTGGGGGAGGGTTCCCCTACTGAAATAGACTATACAGAACAAAATTGGGTACCCTTATTCTAACCTCTCTACTGGAGGACCTAGACGTTGTCGGCAGCTTTTTTCGGGCTGGACACTCGCTGCACAGCACAACTCGGCTCAATCTTGCCGCGGCCGGCTTTTGGCCGCTGATCCGGTAGTTGCGCCTTGGACTTTTTTTTCGGAGGGCGAGACGGCAACGTAGTCTTTAGGGCGACTCCAAATTTCAGGTACCTGGAGTCTCCTTCTGACCCTTAAAAAGTGGTTGGTCATTACCCCAAATAATGGTTGGTCGTTGATTTTTAAAGGGTCATGACTCCAGGTATGGTTGGACTTTGGTTTTAGGCAACTCCCAAATTTCAACTTTTAGCTTTGGATTGATTTGGATTTGGATTTGAATCCATGGTTACAGAGGATAATTTTTAAATGGGACCCCCAAAACGCTAAACCATCAATCCAAGCACCAAGTATTGGGAATCCAAGTACTAGGTGGATTGGATGTTGGATTTGGATTTGGATAAGCCCTTCTTGTGGAGGGCTAAGGGGAAACCGACAATCCAACCTAAACCGCCAATCCAACCTCGAAGTTGCGGGAAGCTGATAGCAAGCGGGTTTAGAACTTTGACAAGTCAGCCACCCACCCACTAAGTATAGGCCATGGGATTTTTTGACCATGGCCCATGTCAAATGTCGCACAAAAAACAGATGGACTCATGAATTTGTCCAATCTCCCTCAATTTTGACCGAGGCCCGTGTAGTTTCAGATTGAAGATGTCCCGCGTAGCCGGTCATTGGCCAGATTTGGTGACGTTTGTCGAGGAAGCAAAGCCGAATCCGGGCGTTTGATTGCCGCATCATCCCTGCGGGGTCCACGTACCCCATATGAGCCAATAAAAACCGATTCGGGGATTGGTGAAGGTTAGTAAGGGGCAGTCTTAGCCGGAAATAGCTGCGGAATTCCGGCTTTCTAATTCTTTACATGGTTTTGGGTTCACCATTTTTGTACCAGGTTTTGATTGTGACTCATATGTACTGTTTTGATGGTTTCGCAAATCCGGAAATATTAGGTAGAAAGGAACCCTTCGGGTGTGTGTTTGGTCACGTGTGCCATTTTCTGGCTATCCGCCTTCCGCATGTTGAATTTATCGGACTCTTCACTTGGTGGTGGCTCCAGTGGCTCCCAGCCATCCGGTTCCTGAGCTGTTTAGCCTTTTAGTGTCCCCTTAGCTGTTTGTCCTTTTAGTGTCCCCTTAGCTTTTTGTCCTTGTGTTTAGTGGTAGTTTCCGAATTTAACCCACCAAAAGTTAGTCACTAGCGGGGTATCTGAAAACGGGCCGCCCAGTTCAAAGAGGCATCTCGCCTTGCACTTGACGGGGGAGAGGCAGACCCTTGACACTTCGTGTTTCAGCGAAATGGCAACGTGGTTGTCAAAACCGTTTTGGGATCCCATTTTGGTTGGTAGGTGAATTCACCCATTTTAGAACCTATTTTAGTGGGGATCGGGAAGTTCACTGGAGGTACGATTTGGATTTTGACACATGGCCAAATGCGCAGAGGAGCAATGGGGACTGACGAGGTTCGCTCAACATATCCAGCCTTCACAGCTTCATTTGCGAAAAAAACTTCCGACAAAGCCGGAGGCCTCTCTTTCTCTGGCTCTCTCTCGCTCTCTGTATCTCTCTCTCTCTCCCTCTCTCTCTCTCGCTCTTTCTATGTTGTCCATGTCCTGTAAGCAGTGAATCTTGCACCCGAAGCATCATTGAACCCTCCATTGAAGGGGAAGGTTTCGCAAGATGCTTCGGGCAAGAAATTTGAGTGACTAACCCACTAGGAGATTCTCCCCTCGCTCCACGGGGACCAGGTGGAAGTTTGGCCGTGTTTTTGTACCCCACCGCAGGTCGCCTGAATTGCATTGTTGGTTTGTGGATGTGAAGAACTTGTTCTTGTAAAGGGCAAGCACCAATCCCAACCACAAATCGGAGGGTAGCTGAGATAGCAAAAAGACCATCTAACTTTGACAACCCCAGCTGTTGAGAGTTCTTGGGCTCCTTGGAAGCCGTCTTCACATGGCCTCCGTCCAACGCGTACCAAGGAACGCAAGGGCCGCTGATGGTGCGCCTGCCCAGAGGGGAGCTGGGCAGAGCGAAGTTGGGATTTCAAAGATAATCTAACTTTTGTAGGGTACTTTTCGGGAACTAATAAAGCGTACTTTTCTTGTTAAAGGGTCGCTACTTGCATGGAGGACCTGCTGCTTGGATGGTTGGCCAAGTTAGAAAGTGGTTGGCCACTTGGGTAAAACGACCCACGAACAACAGGGCTAACTCCACTCAGGGGGACTTATAAGCAGGTTAGAACTTGGGTTATTATATAACATCTTACTAACTTGGCCGAACACGCAAGTTCCATCATACATGGAACCAAACGAGTACTTTGGCAAGACTATGTTCCTCTTACAAAGGGAGTGCATTTCCATGTAGGTGGCTAATGCCCTAGATATTTCAAGTCAACCACAATCTGTTTGTGTGAATCAGCTCGCGACCCTCCAAAGGGTTCCGACTCACAATTTCCACGTTGTACAGGTTTGTTGCAGAGGCAAGGCTTACGTTGTCGTGGTGAAGTAGTACATACACTCCACTGAGCATCCCTCTAGTTGATTCTACTTGGCTTGCCCAAGTTGTTTTGGTATGCTGCATGGGAATTGGTCGTCGGTCATGACGTGTTGTTGGATAAGGCATAGGATGATTTGCCAGTTGGGTTGCTGTAGTTGAATTGCTCAGTGCTGAATGGGTTTCTTCCCCACTTGCAATACATCAATAACCCACCTTGAATTGGCAGCTCTGAGTGCTGAAGTGTTCATTGATGCCGTTTCTCTGAGATAGTGCCGTGGACAAGGGACAAGAGCATTCATCTCCTCAATTTTATGGCGAGCTCATCCTATATACGGAGGTTCTTTACATGGGGATCCCTAGTTTGAGGTGATTGAATTCTTGTGACATTTGGAAATCCATGTCCTTTCCGACGTTCTTCAACTTCGACGATACTGGAAAGCTTCCGCAGTGGTGGGATTCGCCGCTCTTTAAGTACCATAGACGTGTCCCAAACGAAGCCAGACATTCTACCTGGAATCTGAAGGTGTGTTTTGTGTACCCAGTTTGCTAAGGCAAAGGGGGGCCCAAAAACAAAATCCGTGAGTTCTAGCCGGGCATCCCGAACAAAACAAGTCATGGAGAATCAATCTTCAAGCTAAGACACGCGATCGCAAGCGCAGGGATGCGGAGACCCCAAGCTCGGGAGGAACTCTTAGATTGGGACAAATGAGCATCTGAGCATCTGATGAGCATCTTAGGTTTTGTGCACTCAAGCTGGGAGGCAATGGGCTAGGTCCCCCAGCTAGGTGCCCTTTCTAACCCCTTTTTTGGTTGGGAGGTTCCCCGAAAAATAGACTACAGGAAAAAAGACTACAGAAACAAAATGGTACCCTTAGGCTCCTTAGAGACCCCCCCCCTAACATGGATGTTGTTGGGAAATTATTTACATTTTTGCTTCTTGTGGTTTAGTGGTTGAAATCCCCTATTCTAAACCTGTCTACTGGAGGACCTAGTCCTAAGTTCCGTAGGCGATGTGGCGCTTGGCGCTGGCGCTGTTCGGGGCGGTCCACGCAGATGTCATCCAGGCGATCGGATTCGCAGAGCGTAGCGCTCGCGTCTCTTCGGGGCGCTTGGCCTCCCAAGAAATTCACAGAAGTGGCCAATCCACTCACTTTTCATTTGCTTGAGATTCGTCCCATGTTGGTGTAGGTCCCCCCAGTAGTGCCCTTTTACCCTTTTTTTTGGGGGAGGGTTCTCCTGCTAAAATAGACTACAGAAAAAAGGGTACCCTTATTCTAACCTCTCTACTGGAGGACCTAGTGGTTTATAAAGGAATTTATCACTACTGGATTCTTTTTCTGGGGGTCTTAAACACATAAAGTCACGTGAGTTTGGGTTCGACCGGTGCCGAACAAATAAAGACGGTCTAATTCATGTTGACCCCAAAAATGAATCAACAAACCTGCTTACTTGATATGGGGGGTGTTTTTGGGTGAAACGTGGGGAATCGGACCACTTTTGGGGCCAAAACCACCCCCCTCATGAAACAACTGGTTGGTTGATGAAATATGGGGGGTCACCATTACGTTGGTGTCCCCGGAGCTGGCACCAGGCTCACCCAGTGAATCCGGGAGGATCCCCAAGACTCCTCCAGAACATGTAATTCGGGAGGAATGGGGGCGAAAACCCCTGTAAAACGAAGGCGAACAATAGAAGCAAAGCCTCCAGAAATATTCCATGTTTGCAGCTTTTTAGTTTTGGAGATAGCTTAGTTACCACTATATACTATAGTAGGTAACCAAGCGAAATCATCCATAGCGAGACGTAGAGGTAAAAAGCTACAGGAGGGTTACCTACTACAGTGACAAGCGCCTGGAAGCACTGGGTTAGGTACTGAAAAACACCAAAGAAACGCACCTGGAGTCTCCATGACCCTTAAACAATGGGTTTATGACCCCATTCTTTTGGGTAATGACCTCATTTTTGTTGACAGACGGAGACTCAAGGCACGCGCTTGAAAGGAACCTGACTTGAGCCACTTGCTCAAAACCCGGGGATAGATGAAGGTTAGTAAGGGACAATCCCCTTGCCAGAAATAGCTGCGGAATTCCGCCTTCTGAATTCTTGAAGCATGGTTCTGGGATTACGACCATCTAAGTACCGATCGGTTTTGATTCTGACTCACTTGCCCAAAGGGCCCAGAAATAAACCTGGAGTCTCCATGACCCTGAAAAAAAGGGTGAATGACCAACCATTAATTTGGGTAACGACCAATCATTTTTGGGGCCGGGATCTTCGAACTCGAACTGTCGAGTTGGCGCTTGGCGGCGGGAACCGCGTCGCTCGGCGCCTTCCACTCGGGGATTCGCAACCCCGGAGGTCCATAGGTCCCCCAGCAATTGCTGCCCTTTTAGTTTTCTTTCTTCTTTTTTGGCGGGAGGGTTCCCCTACAAAAATAGACTAGGGAACAAAAAGGGTATTAATTTATTATAATTATCTACTGGAGAACCTAGCGTTGGTGTGCTTTTGGGGGCATTCGCTTCCGCGGTTGCCCTTATTCCAGCTAACATGGCACCTGTGGGAGGTGCTTGGAAGATCAGTTTCCTCATGGAGGGACCCCTGACGGACAGGGCAGTTGAAGTGAGTATTTTAAGCCATAGTGGCAATGTTCTCACTTAAAAAGACCTTTGTCTTGTTGGGCGCTTGCCATTCTAGTTTCAACCACGATTTGGTGACTTTGTCTTGGCCAATCTGAGGTTACCTTGGCTCAACAAAGAACTAAGATCTAACTCATTGGTTCCGCGGCCTTTGCACCAACAAAGCTTCACGGTGCCCCCAGAACCACTCGATGCCCGGCCTTTTTTTAGAAGGGTATGATGTTGCCCCTTTACTGCAAAAGGGAGTGGCATTTACCCTGGCAAACCAGGTTTCCAAACAATTCCAACTCCAAAAAACATGTCACTGTGTAGTTGGCATGTTTATTTCCATTTGCTGAAATACCTATTTTAGACTTCCCCTGGTTGGCTTTAAACAAAATCGATCACTATGTTTTTTTTCAGTGGACGAAAAATCAAGTGGAGGTTTCAGTGTTTCAGTTGTTTTTGTTGTTTGGTTCATTTTGTGTGCGCTGCCAAAAACGGTTTGTTGCTACCATGCCAAGGCCGGGAAAGGAAGGCCCATGAGCATGTGTCAGGTCTTCCGGAAAAGAAACATGCCCCCTACATCCCGAGGGAAACACAACGCACACCCATATGTCATATGTATCATTTAGTAACCTTAAGCTATAGAATGTGTTCTGAATCCAAATACCCCGCTGTTTCTGGATTTGTTCGTTAAGAACCGGGGGTTTCCTGGCCAGGGGTTGACATCATACCCTATCATACCAGGAAAACATGATATTCCCACTAAAGTGGTGTCCGCTTGGTTTGCCGTTAAACCACACCAAAAAGGTCCCCTCAAAAAAAACAGACACCCCCGCTATATAAAGTTTGAACATGCGAGTTTGATGCAGCCTGGAGTTGTTTTGTGGACCAGGGAAGATGTGGGACCATTCAGAACCCAAAATGGTTAGCTTTCTTTCGGTTCTTCCTTCAAATTTGAGTTGCCAACTACTTCCTGAGTTGGACTTCACGCTTTTGGGGCTGGAGCTTGGTAGCTAAGGGTAGCTTCCATGTCCATTTCCTGAACCCAGGGATCCGAATCTTTCTGGAAAACCACCCAAAACTCGGGCAAACAGCGATTGGTGTTTGAAAAGAGCGACGGTTCAAAAGAATGGACACGGAATCAACCCCTAGAATTGTATTAGGAAAGAAATGACTCACTTCCTGAGTTCATGAACTTTAAACTTTTTGGGAAGACCATTTTAGTGGTAATTATAAAGTTTGAACTTTTTTTGGGCCATCCACTCAGCCAGTGAGATGATGACCTTCTTGGGCCAAACTCAGAAAGTGAGTGAGACCAACGGGCCCCTTTTCAGAAACCGCTCAAGGGCGAGCGAGCCGACCGGAGAGCGGAGGCACCTCTGCAGCGCGAGAAGCTCACGGTGGACCTGGGGCTCCAAATGAGCGCCGAGCGCCATCCCCGAGGATCCAGTTAAAGCTAGAGCCACACGAAGGGGCGGTGCTCTCAGTTTTTGTTGTTTTGTTTAATACGACTTTTTTTTTAAATAAGAAACAAGCCCCAAGCTGGTTTCACACGCAGTGGCAGCACCTTCCCCTCCAGGAAGGGCTCGTGTATTTCAGGGACACATTTAGCCTTGGGGCACGTGCCATAGGTTCCATTACTTGGAGTGAACAGGGATGGTCATTCACCTGGAAGTAAAGAACCTTAACTAGGTCCCCCAGTAGTGCCCTTTCACCCTTTGTTGGGGGAGGGTTCCCCTACCAAAATAGACCACAGACAAGAAGGGTACCCTTATTCTATCCTCTCTACTGCAGGACCTAGGCACAACAAGCAGTACCTGGAGTCTCCTTCTGACCCTTTAAAAATGGGTCGATGACCAACCATTATTTTGGGTAATGACCCCATGTTTTAAGGGTCATGGAATCTCCAGGTACCCTGAAAAGAGGAAAACCACCAACCATGAATTCTGGTTGCAATATCATATATTTGTTTTTGTTTTTCAGTAGTAAGGGTCCAGGTACCCGGGAAGGGGGAATGCCTCAAGTGTGTGTGGTCTTCGCCGGTTGCATTTCACACTCCCAAAGGCCCCCGAAAACGCAGACCAAACCAATACCTCTCCAGACCTTTAAAGCTAGGCGATCCTCAAACGCAATGGGTTTCAATGGAACCTCTGGCGGAAAACTCCATAGCTGGCATCTCCTTGTCCTCAAACACAATGGTGGTTTTTCAAATTGAACCCGGAAAGCCACAAATTGGCTGGTGTCTTCTTGAAGGTTGTGCGGTCCAGGCATAAAGGAAAGGCATTTGTTTGTCCGGCTGGGGTTTTGATGCAAGAGGTGCCCGGGTGCTGTTGTCTCTCCTTTCATCCGATCCTTTGAACAAATCTTACCATGGGGAACTTACATGCCCAGAGGTCCTGGGCTGAAAACAGTATGGAATCCTTAGGGTGGGTAGTTGAGAGCTAGGGTTCCTTAGGCTGCGTTAGGGACCCCCGTTTTCTTGGAGCTTTCCATTAAAACATATTGTGGGCTAAGGCATGGATTGAGTCTGTCTCGGCAGGAAACAACCAATAGAGTGTGTTTCTCTCTAGGGACCCCCTCAAATTTGTGGTGGCGTTCCTTTGGGTTTTCCTTTGAAACCACCAAACAGTATCAAACAAAGACGCCCCATAACCCAAACACCTCATGGCATCCAAATTCGCTTCACCGGGGGGCACCAAGGAAACTTTGAAGTTCACTGATTTCCTTTGTCAACCTTGGGTAGCAGGTTGATCCTCAGTGGCTTGGATTGGTTTGGGGATTTGAACCCTGGATTTTTGCAAGGGTACATGCGAAACTACCTGAAAGTCTCCATGACCCATTGAAAGTTGGGTCATGTCCAATGTATTTGGGTCATGACCAACTTTGTGTTTAAAGGATCAGAAGGAGACTCCTAATGTTAGACCTCCTTCATGAACAGTATTCTATTGTACAAACTGTTTTTCTAGTTCAGGATCCTGTGACTGTTTTGCGGGTCCTCTATTATGGAAAGTTCATCATCAGACCACCGGGCTCGAAACCAGCGAGAGGGACGGGACCAACGTCCGGAGGAGCCGGCTCGGTGTCCGTGCCCTTGACACGAGCAGAGGGCCCCGCAGGCGGAGGGAGCGGCGCGAAGCGGCGCGACGGCGCGAGCAAAGCATTCTCGGCAGCCACCCTGGGTGCCCGAATGCTCAGTTGTTCAAAGCAAATCGACCTCTTGAAGTTTTTGGTTTTTCCTATTTTGGTCCATATTTAGTCATGGCCCCATGTGATCACCTTGTATTTCTGGGTCCTTTGGGCATTGAGATGCAGGGTGGCTCCAAATTGAAAAGCTAGGGTTACGCAGATTTACGCAGGTTGTAGTCTTTAGTCCCATTTACCAAGGTGCCATTTTCGTATATGTTATTTGAGCCACAGCCAGGTGTTGAGGTGCAGAGAGTGTGCGGTGTCACAGCCCGCGTCTAGGTCGGACCTTGAGTTTTCGAAACCGCTTTTTGGGAAACTCACTTGATCAGCTTCACTCGCTGCTCCAAAGTGCAGGTTAGTTGCAGACTTCCAACTCTAGGTGCGGCCTTTTGAGTTATTTCTTGTTGCCCCCGGGTAAGCCCCTATTATAGTAATATGCGGGTGAGGGGCCCTCCCAAAGTGGTCTGAATCCTCACTACCAGGGACACCGCCATACTAACAAACAGAGGTTTATTAATCCAGGGGCAACATTACTTTGAGTACCGGGTTATGATTGTCACTCGCCTTCAGGGATGAGTAAATGTGCAGGCAATGGCGTTTTTTTTTTTTTTTTAACACACATCAATTTGCAAGTGAGCCACAATTAAAACCTGGGTAGATGAAGGTTAGTAAGGGACGATCCCAACCATAAATAGCTGCGGCTATCCGCATTCGTACTCCTGTCCATGCTTCTGATTACGACCATTTTAGTACCTTAAACACAACTTTTCTCAACTTTTTGGGTAACCTGGGCTAAAAAAGTCTGTAAAAGATGAGAGCTTCCCCAGGTTGCTTGGAGTTTTCAGGGGCAAGGTACCGATCGGTTTTGATTGCGAGCGACTCCAGTGGGCTCCGCTCGCTGGACTCTAGCCAGAAAACTCGCGAGCTCATGTTCCGGTGGTCCGCACATGGGAAGGTAAGACAAATGTCCCTGGCTCACAGGGCTCCTTTGGTGAAGCAAAGTTGAGCACCAATTTGTTGGACCGATTTGGGGCCAGGTTCCTGGTAGAGTGATGTTTAAGCAGGGAAAAAGCTTTTTTGGCCGAGAGCAATCCGTTCTCAAGAATAATAAACCGTCCCCCAATGAAAGAAAGCTCCCTAGGGTGTTTATTATTAGGTGATATGGCTGTGGGTCAAAACCAATGGCACCATTTTGGGGTAGGTGCACCACCCATTTTAGTCTACTTTAGTGGGGATTGGGATGTTCACTGGGGATACGGGCTTTCGACCCATGGCCATATCCATCTCTGCCACCGGCAGGCCCCGGGCTGCAGATGTCCGCGCGCGGCCGCGAGGCCGGCCTTGGCCCGCAGCTGGATGCCAGGCCTGTCGCGTCTGCCGCGTCTGCCGCGTCTGCCGCGTCTGCGGCGTCTGCCGCGTCTGCCGCGCACGGGACGAAGTGTGGGGATTTGTCTCCGGATTGTTTGGATGTGTTGGTTATGTTTTTAGTTGTCTTTTTTTGGTGTGTTGGTTGTTTCGTTTGATGTTATTCTTTTGGTGGCTTGGTTATGTGTTTACGGTGTTGTTTTTTTTTGTTTCGCTAGCTGTGCTTGCGTTTGTGGGTTGGGTGGTGGGTGGGGTGAGGCAATATGGCAGTACCATGTGGGCCCTTCCCCATAGCTACATGTTCTCTTTGTAGCTCATCAGAATTAAAGACTGGAAGGGGACCTAGGTTTCTTTTTCCCAGTTAGGGTGGGTTTTTGTTGGTTGTGCTTGTTTGTTTTTTTGTGTGTGTGCGTGTCTGTGTTTTGCGTGTTTGTGTGCTTTTGTTTGTCTTACTTGATTGTTTGGAATCATGCAACTCTCTAATCGCCTGGGAAATTTTAGGTTTACTTTTCGGACTATTTTGTGTCATCATGTTGCAGTTTAAAATACACATATAGGAGCACTATACAGTTTGTCAATATCGAGAAGGTGTATATCTATAGGCGTTGCAATTCCAAAATAGGAAATGCAGGATCTCCAGGATTTCACCTAAATCATAGTCGGCTTGTTTTACCCCTCAATGATTTCGCAACAAATTAACGGACGTTTGCCATGTTCCTTTGTCCTTGGGGAGTGGTTTTTGCCAACCAGAGCTAGACTCAGTTTAGTGATTCAAGGAATCCATGTATGAGGCCTTGACCAAACATATGTCGTGCTTGGAACCCGAGGGGGGTCATACGGCTGCTCTTGGGCGCTTCTTCCAACGTCTTTCAGTTTGAGAAAGATGAGTCGGTCAGAGTCGTTTTGCTGTTTGGAGCCCTTCGGGGCGCCACGAGAGCGCTGGCCACGCGCTACTGCTTTAGCGCGCAGCTTCTTTTCATGTGTCCTTGGGGAATCGAGAGGCTTATTCTGTCCCACCAGCTCTTGCAGTATGCATATCCCCACCCTTCTTTCCACGTGTTTGCCTGCCCCCCATGGTTTCAAACGTGGTTCAAGGTGGTGCCGGATTTTGTTCCATCCACAGTATCTTTCTGGACATGTCAGTATTTGTCTGGCATATGTTGGTGGGTTTTGGCGCCATGGCGCGATATTTTGACCCAGGCCCGGTGACCCCTCGTGCGGTTCTCATTCAGGGCTCAAGCTCGCAAGCACGGCGGAGCTTGTGCTTTACGGTGCAAAGGTGTGCGCTACTTAAAGGGGCAGGGTACGTTGCAAGTGGTTAGTTAGCCTGGTTATAACCCACTTAGGAGACATAACCAGGCTTCCTAACCACATACTAAGTACCCTGCCCCTTTACGTACTTAGATGAGCCACTTGCTCAAAACCCGGGGTAGATGAAGGGTAAGAGGTCCCAGCCGGAAATAGTTGCGGAGACGCCTTTTGATTTTGCATGGTTTTAGGTAGACTAGGTCTCCCAGTAGTGCCCGTTTGCCATTTTTTTGGGGCGGGTTCCCCTATTAAAATAGACCACAGAAAAAAGGGTACCCTTATTCCAACCTCTCTACTGGAGGACCAAGTAGACCATTTTGATAATGATCGGTTTTGATTTTGGCTCCGATGGTCTGGGAGTTAGCTAAGCGGTTAGTAACCCCGGTTGTATCCCACCAAAGCCTATGGTTGTAAGTCCCTGAGAAGACCAGGCCATCCAAGCAGGAGGAAGCGTGCTGTCGACTGACTTTCTGTGTATTGTTCACCCAAGATGCGCTCTCAGTTTACGTATTCATCATGGACAGGGAACGAGCGAGGCGCCACATGGGTACCGTTTGGTGGGCATCATTTTGGTGGGGATTCAAGCTTTGGCGGGTTTCCCTCAATTAAACCATGTTTCATGGGTAGTCAACCTTGCCAGGGCTTCATACCAGGGGGGCATATATGGCTTCACACATGGCACGGGTCAGTCTTTTTGTTGAGGCTACCCCTGTGTCTGTGTTTTTGAAGGGAACCAAACGGAAACCGCAATCCGCCCGGCCCAAAAAAGAAAAGCAAGAAAGACAACTAACCCTTGAAGCATCTCACCTGCGGATTTGAACAAATCGGTTCCGCTCTTGATGCGCCATTTCTTTCTCGCTTGAACTTCCAAAGGCCTCTGGCAAATTGACTCTCCAGTTGAGCTTGTTTGTCACAAGGCAACTCTTCCCAAGTGGATCCTTGGTGTTTCACAGCCATCCAGTTCCTTTGCCTTTTTGCCTTTTAGTGTTTAGTGGTAGTTTCCCTTTAACCCACTAAGAGTTAAACTTTTAGCGTCTGATCTGAAAACGGGCAGCCCAGGTTCAGTCTCGAAAAATCCATTGAAACTCAGAACCGCCCTCCCAGCGCCACGTTTTGCCGCGTCGCGGCCGCAGGATAACTCCCGGCAAGCCCAAGCTGCGCCAGGCTCCGGGAGTCCAAGAAGAAAATACCTCGCTTGGTATCAAATGGCATAGGGGGAATCCCCATGGCTTCGGAGGTGCTTTGTTTTTGGTTTTTGATAAATTGTTTTTTTTTACCCAAAAAGCAAGTGGTACCCCTTGAAAAAAGACACATCACATGCGGCCAGGTTAGCAAGTGGTTGTATAACCCTCAAAAAATCGACACATCACATGCGGCCAGGTTAGCAAGTGGTTGTATAGCCCCCCACAAATAGACACGTCACATGCGGCCAGGTTAGCAAGTGGTTGTATAACCCTCAAAAAATCGACACGTCACATGCAGCCAGGTTAACAAATGGTTGGCCACTTGGGGTGTAACCCTCTTATAGCAAGGTTAACCCCACATTCACGGGGGACTTATTTCGTGGGTTGTGATCGTGCAGCTACTGCCGGAGCCAAGATCTATCAGCGCCTTGCAGTGTCACCAGCTCATTTGCAATGCAGAACCCGAAGCAGCCATAGTAACCGGTCAAGTGCCAGCCAGATGCCAGAGTAAGATGGTCAGAGTCCAACAACTCCCGACCAGCACAAGACAGGACAACATGAAGCAAACCCAAGAAGGCAGCAAATTAGATTGGTCAGCGAGGTCTAGCAATGCCCAGTGCTTCTGTGTTTATATCAAATTTATGTTCAAAATCTAAGTTAGAATGCTTTCCATGGCACTCCTCAATCATTTCTACATCACATCCTGCCCTTTCCATTTGGTGCATGTGCAATGGTGTCGAATAGTCAGGTGTTAAGGGTTACATCTCTTTCACCTGTCCCTTTATCTTTCTTCCAATAATGTGATTTATCATTCTTAGGGTTTTTGTATAACACCCTGGGATTGCACCCTTGGGAAATGACCCAGAATGGTTCAAAGTAACACGTTTTCATCCGGAAATGTGCCTAAATGGGGTCAATAAACAGTGGGTGTATTCCCAGGGTGTAATACAAACACCCTCAGAATCTTGTTCAATCCCCTCCATGGCGCGTGGGAGTACACGACTTCCTCACTTCTCATGGTGGCTTGTAGCTGGGACTTAGGATTGAAAAGACATGCTGCAGTGAGAAAGGGAAAAAGCGAGCATTGTTACAAGTCTAGGATAGGAATATAGTGGCTTCATTAATTTGCCTGCTTTCCTTATCCTTCTCTTTCCCTTTTACTCGAATGATGAAGTCTCAGAGAATAAGATCTCATGTAGAAGGAAGGGATGATGAAAGGGAAAGGGATGTAACGCCAGGCGAAGATAACCCTTGCTCCTCTCTCTGCTCTATTTGCGAGCGTGGTATCTGGAGATGAGTGAGCCCCTTCCTTCATTCACCATTTCGAGGATGTGGAAGAGACAGAGAGCGAGAGAGAGAGAGAGAGCGAAAGAGAGAGATGGGAGAGCCTTTCACTAAACCAAGTAACTACTATAAAAGTGAAAGGCTCATACACCTTCCTTCGTCAGCCCAAAATGACAGCAAAGAGAGGGCTGGCATAGGTTGGTTTTAAAGGATTGACCCGCGAGCATAGCCTCCATTGACTGGCAAACCTGGACCCTCAAACTACCAATCAAAATGGGTTATTGCTCAACAAATATGGCTGTGGGTCAAAACCAATGGTACCATTTTGGGGTAGGTGCACCACCAATTTTAGTCTATTTTGGTGGGGATTGGGTTGTTCACTGAAAATACGGGATTTTGATCCATGCCCATATGGGTGATTTCCATTTTTTAAGGGCAGTTTGATGAAAGTGGCGGGTCCAGGTACCCTTTTTTCCCAACAAAGAATGGTGGACGAGGCCGAGGACGGTCTTCTAAGTTGTTGGAAGAGGGGGCCTCCAACCCAGCGCGCGCTCAATACTCTCTTTTGATGTTGACCCAGGATTAATAAACCCGTCCCATTATTAGGGGGGTGTTCCCTCCGAAGTGATGAATCCCCACTAAAAGGGGACACCCCCCCTATTATTCAACCAGAGGCTTATTAATCCGGGGTTAACATTACTTTGGAGGGCTTTCCTTTAAGATCGCCTCATTGTCTGGCCGTCTAAGTCAACAACCTGTCCAACCGTGTGTCACACCTGCGCCGGGTTGTGGAACTTTGGTTTACGGTGCCCTTGTCTGTGCCTCCACTTTTTTCCATGCTTCCAAGGGGCTCGCTGGAACAGTGACAACGCAGTCTACGGTAGGCAGGGTCCACTTTGGTATCTAAGGAAGGGTGATCTTTCCTGAGGTTTTGGTTTTGTTTATTGTTAGCCGCTAGCTGCAAACAACCAGGCTGTTTTGCTCCCCCGCTAGGATTGGAAAGTAGTTTCAGTGCCAGGCCGAGCCAGTCCTGCCCTGGACTTTCTTCCTGCGTTGCGCTGCTCGGCTGAAGCGGCTGATTGCCCCGGTTTGGAAAAGACTGCGAGCAGAGCGAGCAGCAAGACGAAGGCTAACTAAATGGGCCTAGATTCTGGGCCTAGATAACAACTCCCCCTCCTCCAAATTATACATGTTGTTAGTTTGTTTTTGTTGTCTTTTTTTAATGTTATTTTAAGACTGGTTTTCCCGGAAAAAAAAAAAAAAAAAACAAAAACAAAAAACACCAACTTTTGAGTAAAGGGTCGACATCATACTCTTAAACAAGCAGGTGTTGCTAGTTTCAATCAGCATTTAGGCATGATCATGAAAGGATAACTGTTTATTTCTGTAGGCCCCTTATAGTACTTCTATTTGTGCTTCCGCCATTCTTGCCAATGATATTTTTCAGAACATGACCAGACTCCCATCAAATTTGGCTGGTGATTGAACATAACGATGGATGGGGTGAAACTTTGAAGCTTTGGTATCTACAATATCATTGGTGTGTTGGTGAATGGTGACTAATCATGCGTTTTAAATGTACAGATCCAGTGGACAAATAAACTTGATGAAGATAGGTTGAGCATGAGCACCACATGGCCGTTCTTTGGTGGAGTAGGGAAGCAGATCGAAGAATCTGTTAGGGATTTCGTGTTGAAGCTTCTGAGAAGCCAGTTTTGGGAAATGCTACAGAATGTTTGGCCAAAGTTTTCAATCTGAATGGGTGCGCCCTTTTTTTGGTGGGTGTTGAAAGGAACACGAATAGGAAACCTGTTGCGCCATTTTGGGGGATCCAACCTTAAAACAGAAACACCCATGTTCAACCAACTCCAGAATTGGAGTCCGTGAAAGCGAGTCCGTGAGGATTTCCTCATCTTTTTGGGTGAGGCCTTGAGGCAAAATGGTTGATCAATATTCCATTCGGGGGCCCCAGTTTTGACCATGGCTAACTTGTTTTTCCCATGTGGTGACTTAGTCGTATCTGTTTTTGGTGGTTTCCTTAATGGTCATCCCATGCAAGGAAAGGACCTTTGAATCAACCCCCAAATGGGCTCGTCGTGTTTTTTTGTTTCCCCGATGCACAGTTTGTGCCTTAGGGCTAAACATCATGTGCCAGGAACACCGTGATGATTTTTGGACCGTGTTGAAACGCCTACCATGCTTACAATATCACGCCACGGCCTTTACTGGGAAAACACATGTCCCATGGTTTCCATTGATCAACAAGTCATGTGTGCACGTCTTTTTTGCTCACCCTTACCGCTTATGCGTCGTTGTCTTGAAGGCAAGCCGAACCAAGTGCTTCCAGTTGCCACTACCAGGGGATGCCATCCATGGTAGAACCTGGAGAAAGCCATAGCGATCGGTTACCCACTATAGTGGCGTCTCACGCCTGGAAGCACTGGGTAAGAATTGTTTTGGCTTGGAGTTTTTGGTTTGGAGGCCCCTTACCCTTACCCTTACCCTTTGATAACAAAAAACGCGTTGACCCTTTACCCTTACTGACTTACCCTTTGAAACGTAAAAACCAACAAAACACCCCGGTTCAAAGCCTTGGGGATCCGATCTCCGGGGCAAGACAAGCGGCCCGGTGCGTTCGGCGCGTCCCAGTCCTTTTGCCTCATGGGCCTCGCGCTGGTGTACCTTGCCACCGTGCAGCAGGAGGCCGAGCAAGGCGCGGAGCGCGGAGCGGGAGGGGGCGGCGCTGAGAAACTCCGCTTTTGGGAGTTTTGCCGTTTTCGAATCAAGTACATATCCTTACGAAGCCTTTTAGTGCTAGCCCATGTGTCTCGGAAACTTCCGTTTGCTTTTTCGCCCCCTGGGAAGAACAAAGAGAAAACACATACTGTGGATGGTTGCGAAATCCATTTCGCAGCACCTAAGAAACCCGGTTTCTGATGATTCCTCTGTAAATGCCAACAAACCTCTGAATAGTGTTTATATTTCCCTGTTGTTGGTTTCGTCTCCCCTTTGTTTAACAAGAGTGGATCCCAGTTGTCAGTATAGTAGGTGACCAGCCAGTTTCCATTTGGTTCTTAAAGGGCGGTTCCATTGGTTATCTACTACACACTTCCATTTGCTTGAGAATATTCTTTATTTTCCTGCGGCTTCTTAGGTGTAGCCGGCCTTGTGGTAGACACATATCATGGGAACCCCAGATGAATAAATTCCTGGTGAGTAGGGGGAGGGTGTCCCCTAGTCTAGGTCCCCCAGTAGTGCCCTTTCTCACGCTTTTTTTGGGGGGAGGGCTCCCCTACTAAAATAGACTACAGAAAAAAGTTGGTACTCTCATTATAACCTCTCTACTGGACCTACCCCCTGTTGGTTTGAAAGGAAATCTATCACCTTCCCCAGAATTAGCTCGCCTTTGTTTTCCACTATCCAGGCAATCAAGATCTTTTTTTGCTGGGGTCCTAATTCCAGCCTAGTCACTAACTGGACTTGTTTTTCTTTTGTTCTTCTTTTTGTTTGGCCAGGGTGGCTTAAGCAAATGGCAGGACACACCAGGTGCAATTGCCGATGCGACCGCCCGCGCGCCTTCGGCGCGAGAGGCCGCATGGCGCGGCTCAAGAAGATGTTGAGCATGCTGATCCCACGCACCCCGGCGCGCAAACGACACACATGCCGTGCGGAGCGCCAAACGGGATTTTGCTCAAAGGGGCCGGGTACTTGCTGTAAGTGGTTAGTAAGCCTGGTTGTAAGCCACTTTAGGAGACTTATAACTCATGGCAAGCGGGTTTTCGCCGTTGTCATTTTCCACTTACTACGTTACCCTGTTCCTTTAAGTAGATAGTGTGGGAGGAAGCTATGTGGTTAGCAACCCTGGTTCCAAGCCATTTGCCATGCTGGTAAGTCCCCTATTAGGGTTTTGGCTGTGTTTGTCTTTTCCGTTTTTTCTCCGACGAACCAGCAACGTGTTTTATTTGTGTGGGCAGTAGCCACACAGTTCCTTGCTCCTTTTTGCGGGCCACAGGACCCGTAGTTGAAGGCATATGGGAACCACCCCCAACCACCAAAATCCAAAATCCGATTCGAAGGAAGCTGATTTGCATATTCACTGTCCTTCCATCAATCAGCAAATAGTTCAACTTTGTTGGGTCAAAGAGTCCAGATGTACTGTGGTACAAGAAATGAGACCCGCCAGCCTCAAATCATTTGCAAGCGGGTGTGACTCACCAAGTTGGGGCGCAATGAAGATGTACTGTTGGTTTCATGCGCCACCTAAACAAGAGAGCTGAGAAGCAGCACAAAAACTGCAGGTTGGCTGTTTTCTTTTTGGCAGGATGTACTGAATTTACCCAGTTGCCCAGTGGTGCCCTGTCCGTTTTTATGGGAAGGGTTTCCCTTCATGCTAAGCCCTTCCCCTTAGAGGGACGGCCTGATTTTTGGCTTCGGCCAGGATGTGGGCTCCACTCACTCCAATTGGGGGGGGTGGGGTCTTGAGCAATGTGGCGGAACCCACACAAAAAGGATGCCCGTTATTTCCCATGGCTGGGCATCTTAGTTTAGTGTGGATTGCGAGTTCTTTGTGAGCCTTTGTGAAGCTCAATGAGCGTGTGACGCGCCTGCGTGCGTGTGCGTGGGATTGTTTGTTTGTTTGTTTGTTTGCGTGCGTGCGTGCGTGCGTGCGTGCGTGCGTGCGTGGCGGGCGGGCGGGCGGGCGGGCGGGCGGGCGGGCGTGCGGGCGTGCGTGCGGGCGTGGGTGTGGGTGTGTGGGTGTGTGTGTGTGTGCACGTACGTGTGCGTACGTGTGTGTACGTGTGTGTGTGTGTGTGTCTCTGTGTGTCTCTGTCTCTGTCTCTGTCTCTGTCTCTGTCTCTGTGTCTGTGTCTGTGTCTGTGTCTGTGTCTGTGTCTGTGTGTGTGTTTGTTTGTTTGTTTGTTATGGCATCAGCATGAGCAGCAAACCTTTCACCAGGGATGCGAACGGCTCAAAGGATTCGCTTGACCAATCTTTGAGAAGCTTCGAAACTACGCAGCCCCTTATTTTCTAGTTATTTCGAAAGGAAGCCTAATGTGATTTATTTCATCCAGAACTTTCATTTCGCACCCAGAAACTTTTCAACTTGCATGTATGGGCGTCCTAGACTAAGGACGCTGCGGCACTTGACTTCTGCTGTAACTTGAGCAGTTTCCCTTTGGGCGACTCTTAGACCCTTAGATAGCTGCCACCGGCGACTCGCCCGCAACATCCTCTATTGGACAGCTTAAAGACGGCAACTCCGGTGTTTGGGATGGTCCCAGATTTCTTTCCCACAAACGAACCCTTCGAGGTTGGGTGGTGTTCAGTTTTCAAACAAATCCTTTGGGAATTTAGAGTTTGAAGCCACGAAGCAATTCTTGCCTGGGACGGTCCGAGGTTTGTGCCTGTTCAGTTTTCAATCTTTGACTTTTGCTGTAAGGTGTAGCTCGCGCTCACCAACGAGCAACCGAGCAAAGCCTCCATTTGCCTGGTTTGCTCGCTCAACTTTTGCTGCTTTCTTCAGTGTATTGAAGCCAGGTCCCCCAGCTAGGTGCCCTTTTTCCCTTTTTTTTCCGGGGAAGGTTCCCCTGCCTGAAAAAGTTGGTAGCCTTATTCTAACCTCTCAAATCTGGAGGACCTAGGAAGCCTGCCTCACCCCAGGGCCCCTTTGCCGTTTTTTTTTTTGCTTGGCTTGTTTGTCGTGCAGCCCTGCACCTTTTCGAGATAGAATTCCCTTCTCTCATGCCCCCTCCCCCGAGTTTGTTCTCACTTGTCCTTAGAATCTTGTGAGTTTCGGACGCGGCAAAGGGCGTGGCACAGCAGCTACTTGGATCAGTCCTTACCTCTTAAAAACACAACTTTTCAACTTTTTGGGTAACATGGGCTATATGTCTGTAAAGATTAACTTCCCCAGGGCTTGGATTTTTAAGGGGTAAGAGTCCCGTCATGACGAGAGTTTAGGGCAAGGAAGATGAACCCGGCTTCTTTTCGTTTGTGAGATCCACAGTATTTTGTCTCCTGGCTGATTTCTTTTTGGTTTTCTCTTCCACCGATATACTCACTTCCTGAGCTCAGTCACTTTTTGGGGCTGGACCATCTTAGTGGTAGATAACAGTTCCTGCTTACTTGTTTTGGCCAATCCACTCGTTCGGAAGTGAGAACACCTTCTTGTTTCTCGCCTTCGGTTGGGATCCCAGGCAAGGCCATGTGAACGGCGAGCGCCCGCAAACGAAAGCGAGCGGACAGAACCGCGCGGCAGACTTCTTGGTGTTGGGCGCGCTCATGGGTTTGTATGTGAAGGTTGGTCAAAAGCAGAAGCCAAGCAGGTAGCACCCACCATTTCAGGCTCCGATTTTCCTCGGGGACAAATGCCAGTGGTTGTCAAAACCGTTTTGAAATCCCATTTTGGGGTTTTCGGCGAATTCACCACCCATTTTAGAACCTATTTTAGTGGTTGAATCGTATGTTCACTGGGGCTACGATTTGGATTTTGACCCATGGCTATGTGAAGGTTTGTCAAAAGTAGGGGCCCTTTTTGGTATCCGCTTTAAAAGGCGGCACAAGGCGGCACCAGGTCCCAAAAAGGGTCCATATGTTTGACAGCTCCCCATACGTGTGTGTGTGTGTGTGTTTGTTTTGGGGGGGGGGGCACCCTCTTTTAAGTTGGTTTAAAAGGAAACCAACAGGCAAGCCACAACCACCACTTGTTGGGCGTTTCGATGTGCTCTTTTTCGGTTTAAACATCATTGGGCCAAGTTCAATTGAAACCCTGACGTCGGCAAGCGCATGTCATTGAGCCGGACACATTCGGAAGAAGCTAGAAGTGTGAACAAAACTTTAAGACATGACGAGAACATGAAGGTAAACAGCAGGGTCAATAAATTGTTCACTACATGTGGTCGATTCCGTGCTGAAGTCTGCCTACTCCCAATACCCGTTGGTTGTGTAGAGTATGACGTCGACCCTTTGCTAAAGAAGGAGGAATTTACGCGGTTTTCTCACATTTTGGGAAAATACCAACCAAACAAAGAGGGTAGTTGGAGTAGTGAGGGTACATGTTGAAGTCTAGTTGAAGTTAGGTTGGCTAGCGTCCTGATGCCGAGCAGTCTACCAAATCACATGGAGTTTGGTCGCACATTGCGAACCGATGTAGTCGACGGGCGAGGAAAAGGACCATATGGGCGTGTTTCTTTGTCACTCCCGGATCGTTCCTGGACTTTGTGGTCAGAGCTCTTTGTTTACCACCGAACAGTCTGGACTTTGCACCTACAAGGGTTGGACTGTGTATTTTTTGGTTCTGTGGTCACGTCCTGAGTAATTCGCACACAGAAGAGGTGCTGGACTTTGTACTTTTTGGGGCTGGACCATTTTAGTAGTAAACCAAAACTATTTTTTGTACGTTTTGGGGCTGGACCATTTTAGTGGTAAACCAAGCCTTCAGACTTTCTGGCCAATCCACTCGTTCGGAAATGAGTTCCAGGCGGCATTGACCTGCTGAGTCGGTTGACGTGGGCTTGTTTCCGAGTGGGTGAACCCCACAACGACCCGCTTCCCTTTCGTTTCTCTTCAAGGCAACACGAAACAACAACCTACTGAAAAAGCAGGATACACCCACTTGCTGAGATCAGGCATCTTCATGGTTGCTTTCAAAAGTGGTGCACGTCCCAGTCTTTTGTGTGACTATTCTCTGAGAGTTGGTGTACTGGCCTTGGTTTAATGGCGCTTGCCTTCTCAGGATTTTGTCCCAATCAGTGGACCTGGCTGCAGGAAAACAAAAGGTAGGTGTGTTCGGAGGATACCCTGTTCACCTTGGTTTGAAGGACATCCAAAAGGATACCAAGGCTTCTTTGGGAGGTGGGTACCCAAGTTCGGCAAATGGGTTGTCTCAAAACAGACCCCGCGTTGGTTGTGTTTCAAGGGAAGCAACCGGGAAGCCAACCATTTTGGGGTCACTACTGTGGATGGACAAAATTCATTTCGCACCACTTGAAAACCATGGTTGAAGCCATGTTTGTGGGCATTTGCGAGGGAATCGAATCAGAAGCCCTCACTTCCTGAGTTCATGAACTTTAAACTTTTTGGGAAGACCATTTTAGTGGTAAATATAAAGTACTCAGCCAGTGAGAACCAGGGTTTCTGAGGTGCTGCGAAATGGATCTCGCAACCATCCACAGTATTTTTTCACACGCCAAGATCACTCCCGTTCGAGATCCTGAGCTTTAATTCAAACTGGGAAGAACATGTTTGTGGCAAAGAACACTAGGTTCCCCAGCAATTGGTGCCCGACCTCTCACCCTTTTTTGGTTGGGAGGGTTCAACCCTACTAAAATAGACGTCCTGAAAAAAGTTGGTACCCTTATTCTAAGCTCTCTACTGGAGGATTTAGAACAAGTTTTTGGACCAATCTACTCAGGAAGGGAGCCAATGAAGCTACAACTCAGCTTGGAGCAAGTTGGGATTATGTTTCTCGATTCGAGCAGTCCAAAGCATCCACGGTGTTTCATGCCCCAGTCGCAGTCTCGATTTGTTTCTGGAGTCTCCTTCTGAGCCTCCATGTTTCAAGGCTCAGAGGGAGACTCCAGCTTGGCGAAGCCTTTGTCCGAAAAGGGGCCAACGCATTCGAATAGAAGTTGCCGTCACATCTCTTTTTCCAAGAATCATGGCCAGTGGGCCTTGGAAATGCGCGCTAGTGGTTGGCTTCAGCGAATGTCAACTTCGGATTCGTTTGGAGGACCCTAGCCAAAGGAGTGTTGAAGAAATGGTGGTTGTTTCTTACTGAAAGGGCAGCCATTTTGGTTTGTACGGTCCTCAGGATTCGTCATCGGAAGTTAGAGCAAATTAAGCCCGACCGTAGTCAGAGTTGCTTTCTCTGAACAACATGTGAGCCACTTGCTCAAAACCCGGGTAGATGCAGGTTAGTAAGGGAGACTCCCAGCCATAAATAGTTGCGGCCGCCTTCTTAATCCTGTACATGGTTCTGGGTAGACCATTTTAATACCGGGCTTTGATTGCGACTCATGTCCCATTCCAGGGGATTCCTGCGAGTAGGACAAGGACCAATCCGAAGTCGACAGAATGCCTGGAGTCTCCTTCTGACCCTTAAACATGGTTGGTCATTACCTAAAATAATGGTTGGTCATTGACCCCATTTTTCCAGGGTCAGAAGGAGACTCCAGGTGGTTTTGTGTAAGATCCCGTTTTTGGCCCCCATTTGATTTGTTTCCCATCTCTATCCCAGCCACAGCTTTCAGAATTGCAAAAACCACAAGCCACCCCAACACCAAAACCCTAAAACCGGGGACCCCAGAGATCGATACACGTTTGGTTCCGAATCCACCTTGAAGGTGTGGCTTGTGAGTGAGAAAATGGATCCCTTGCCGACCCATTGAATTGGTATGGGTTCCACGTACAGGGCAGCCCATTTTGGAAGCTTATGTTGACCCATGCCCATTTCCTGGATGAAATCTACCAAATTTAAATGTGCGCAAACTTTGTGCTACCACGGTTTTGCAGATACGGTGTAACGGTGCTTCACTTTCATTTGTACTGTCTGCTCATTTGTGTAAATACATATGCATATATTTGATATACTTGGTTGTATGCATACTGTTTGATTGATTCATGTAAAGGTCAGCCCCCAAGGTTGGCAGGCGCAAGACAGGAGCCATGACTCATGCGCACGCGCACCCCGCTCAGCCACTTCGCGGCAGGCCTTGATGCAAACCAACAAGATGTGGCCACTCGGCCGAAGGCTGAACGACCCATGTCAAGAGTACCCAAAAAAAGCCTGGGATTTTCCATGGACCGATTCCTCTTTGGTTGCCTTTGTACCCCTGGTTGTGGATTTCCCAAATAATGGGGTCATTGAGCCATTTTCAGAGAAGAGTGCCCAACAGCCCATTAGACCCGGCCCTGGGCTCTGGCCTGTATTGGGTGCCCTTTGAGAATGCGAAAGCGACGCCTCTTTCGGACACCAAACCCGTCGGGAGCCTGGGTGGTTTTCCAAAAACATGGCTGTTTGACACCGCAAAACTGGGTGCCTGCAGCTTTTTCACAGCAACTGTGACTGTGTTGATGCTGTGTTTTACGGAAAGTGTCTGGAAAAAAAAACAGCAACTTGGCGTTGCAGGTGGTTTCATTGTGGAATCCCTTTGAAAGCAGTGCAACCCGTTGGTTTCCCTGGGTCGAGCATGCCACTGGATAATATTTGTCTGAGTTTAGATGGTCCCTGAAAAACTTGTCCCGGAAAAAAGATCCCCTTCCAGTTCATTCCCAAACCCCTGCTGATTCCCTACTGAGGCCCGGCAAGCTTGGACTCGTTCGCCAAAGCTGGGTTTTTGTTGGACAGGCGGCTTTCGGGGACTTTTACTGCGCTGTTCTTGACACATCCTTTAGGTTTTACATGTTGTTTCTTTGTTCTATCTTTTTTAGTGGGCGGATGCAAACAAAATGAGTTGTTTGTTGCTCACCTGCCAAGGATTGGACAAATCACCCAACCCCAGCAGCTTGCTGGTCAGGAAATCAGGAGGTGGGAATGAGGTGTTGATTCAAAACCACCAAACAGAGAGGTACCCTCAAAACAGGAACAGGACACCCATATGGTTTTAGAGTTGCACTTGTCTCCGACCCGAGGCAAAACGCGGAGTCCTTTGTGAAGGACTTGGAGCAATCCTTGGAGGACCGCCCTGCACAAGATGTTGCATCCCCTTTTCTATTTGCTCAAGTATATGTGGGATTTTCTCTGGTTGGTTTTAAAGGAAATCTATCACTACTGAACATATCTTTGCATTTTGGTTGGATGTTAGGACTTTAACTTTTTGCTAACTAATGGGGTTTCCAATAACCCACTAAAAGTCAAACTTTTAGTAGTGGAGCAGAAAGCAACTGCGATGTGTTGTTTATTTTATCCAGGGAAATTCAGCAAATGGAAGGTGTGGTTTCAATCATCACCTCTTGGGCCAAGTTGAAGCGAGCTTCCTTTTGAGATTCTGTTTTGGGAGGAGACATAAAAACCTGGAGTCTCCCTGACCCTAAAAAAATGGTGTCATTACCCAAAGAATGGCGTCATTGACCCATTTTTATTTCGGGTCAGAGGGAGACTCCAGAAAGCCCTATGAAGGCAAATGTTCTCTCGGGGTGACCTTTAAAGGAGAAAACCCGGAAACCCCCGGAACTGGCATGCTTGCATTCACTGTTCTTGGATCATGTGTTTTAGTCTTGGCATGTTTTTTGGTTCTGTTCATTTTTATTGGGGGTCTGCAAAAAACAAAGTTTTTAGCAAGCCCATACCAAGAGTAGAGATGTTTCCTTACGGGCTTCAGATTTGTTTCGCCAGCGCGTGCCCAGAAGTCGACCAAGAAAAAACGCTTGGGCGGAGGGCTGCCGCTGCGGCAGACAGTTTGTCTTAGGCATGCTTGCACTGGAACCGAAAGGCCAGAATTCCCGTCTACTTGGGGTTAACAGGGTGGGGTGGAGCGGTTAATTACGGGGGAGGGTGGCTTCTTTGTGGCTATTTGGACTTGTACTTGTTGCTTGAAACTTTGCGGATTTTCCGTGTTGGACCCAAACACAGTTATTCACTTATTGCAGAAGGGTCAACAGCAACCAAGGTTTACTTGGGCTTAACAAGGGGATGGTCATCTCCCTGGTGGTAAGGATCCTTAACAACCATTGAAGGGGAAATGCAAGGGAAGTGCAGGGAACATAAAGAGGACATCAAAGGGACATGAACGACGGGAGCCGTGACCATAAGCCCCATAGGAGCTTTGACCATGGCGGATGTCACTCGGCCAACGCTCTAACCGCGCTGGCTGGGTTCAAGGGACGGAGCGCGAACAAGCAGGGGATGACCATTTACCTACTTACCAACGAGCAAGCTAGCAGAACTGTCTTATGTTGTTTTGTGTTAGTTTGAATGTGTGCGCGGCGGATATCCCCCCTAATACCTAGGATGGAAAATGGGGCAGACTTAGAGATTTGGTTGATTTCCCCAATCGGACCCCCTTTTGTGAGCCAAAGGGTTCTGGAAATTCAGGTCCACATAGCAATGCAGGTCTAGGTTGATGTGTGTGCGTGTGTTGTTTTTTTTTAGTTGAGGGTTGGATTGAAGGGAAACCAAAGTAACATGCATTCGTTTGTTTCCCCTATATGGGGATGGGGATCAGAAATAACACACTCAACACCGCAGGTGGTAGTCCTTGGTTCCATTTACCAGCCCATTTCTGGGGGTTTCCCTATGCTTGACCCACATAAGACACGCCCACTGTGGCTTCCGCTAGGTGGTACATGGGGGGAGAAACCCCTGGTTACCTACTCTAGTTGCGTTGCACGCCTGGACGCCTCCATTGGCTTGAGGATTATTTTTTTCTTGATGTTTCTCTGGTTTCAATCAGAATCTATTCTAGGTCCCCCAGTAGCGCAGTAGGGCCCTTTTACCCTTTTTTGAGGGAGGGATCCCCTACTAAAATAGACAGAAAACAGTTGGTACCCTTATTGTGTAACTTCTCTACTGGAAAATCTAGTAGCGAACCGAGCATTCAGGTACTTGGAGTCTCCCTCCGACCCTTTAAAATGGGTCAATGGCCAACCATTATTTTGAGAGTCATGACGAACCATTTTTTAAGTGTCAGAAGGAGACTCCAGGTACCCCTTTGGACCTTAATTTCCGGACGACTCGGGACCCGCACCGCGCCGCGCCTTCGATCCTTCGATGCGAGGACTCGCAGACGGAGGCGGCAGAAGCGAAGGAGAAGCTGGCCGGGACCGTAGATCCGAGGCTTCCCTTTGGTGAAGTATATGTTTCATGTTCCCCTGTTGGTTTCAAAGGGAATCGATTTCACTGCTTTTTATATATATATATATATGTATATATTTCCAGGGGGGCGAAATGGAGCAAGGTGAGAGGGCCAAAATGATACTTGGGTCGTGGCCACTCCGGCAAGTCTTCAACTAGGTTCCCCAGCTAGGTGCCCTTTCCCGCCCCTTTTTTGGTTGGGAGGGTTCCCCTACTAAAATAGACGTCCTGAAAAAAGTGGGTACCCTTATTCTAACCTCTCTACCGGAGGACCTAGTTCAAGTTGTTGGAGTGAATCATGTTTTGTTCCCCATTCAGTTGGGAACCTAGCCCAGTGCTTCCAGCCCCTATAGTAGGTAGCCAGGTAGGTATGGCTACCAATAGGTTTATGGTTTTACTATAGTGGCGAATCGCCTGGAACTGAGCTAGGCAACAAACCCTGTGACCTGGGTTTGACCCCCGTTCAGTGGGGTTAACCTTGTTAGAGGTGACAAACCCCAAGTGACGATCACCACCGAACTTGGCAAATCGAACCCCCGAGTATCCAAGATTTACTGCAGGTGTTTGGGTTTGGTAGGGGATTCGTCCGCCTCCGAATCCGCGCGAATCTGGCAGAGGTACCTTTTGGGACCCTCCGGGCCTTGTGAACTGGAGCAAAGATTCCGTCGCCAGGGTCTCCCTTTCTTTCTTAGTTTTTTTCTTTTTCGATAGACCGTTGTGGCGTTGAGGGGCTTCAGGATTTGAGTTGATGGTTTGAGGCTCTTGAAACGTTTGCCTGGAGTCTCCTTCTGACCCGAAATAACAATGGGTCAATGACCAACCATTATCTTAGGTAATGACCCGATTTTTTAAGGGTCATGGAGACTTTAGGTGGTTTCTTTGAGGCTCCAGACCCCAAACCAAGGGACCTCGAAACCAATCACCGACTCAAGAATACCGACCTCCGGGGCTGTTCCATTTTGAAGAGTCTTGTTTTTTTGACTTCCGAGGCCAGCGGTGGCAGGTTGTTTGTTACGGTTCTGGCAGACGTGCTGCAAGGATGCAGTCACCAAAACGCTTGGCAGTCCGACTTAAATCACAGGGACTGCCTGGCTTGAGTCTCCGTTGGGTTTGGACAGCTTCCATTTGCTTAACATGTATTATGATATGTGTTCCTGTTGGTTTCACCTATTCCTACTGATTTGTTTGCTTCTTGTGTTGCAGGGGGCTCAATTAAGCAAATGGAGGCCCATGTTGGTGGGAAAGAACAAATTTGGACTTGTTTGAGGCCAGTCAGCTCGGGAAGCGAAATTAGAATGGGGTTGGGTGTTTTTGAGCCGAATTTCTCGAATAAATGGCATAAATTATCAGTCATTGTTTAGCCCAATATGTTATAGTAGCTAGCCACACAAAGGCCATTTGTTTATTGGGTGGTTTGCTTGGTTACCAGTCGAAGTGGTAAAAGGATTCACTGCGCAATGACGAATACCTTGCAAACCCTGCCACTTATGGCAATGTACAGATGTCTTCGTGGCTGTTCCCAGCCGTCCCCTTAGGCTTTCAGGTTTTCAGAGTTTAGTTTAGTGGTTGGGTTTCCGTTTAACCCGCTAAAAGCTAAACTTTTCGCAGGGGATCAGAAACTGGCCAGCCCAGTGTTGAGGGGAAACGAAAGGACACCAACCACCTGGAGGGGTCCAGACCTTGTCAGGGTTTCACTTATGACTGCAGGGTAGACTGAAACTCCCAGGGGTGGTTCATTCCCCCCAAAAATGAGAGCCTCTGGGTGTCGGTCCATTGTAGGGTAGTCAAAAAGTGGAACCCCGAAAACCAACCCATTTTGGAGCCAGAAGTCAATGGGTCTTGGGTGCTGCTCACTAGCTAGAGCGAGCTGAAACAGCTTTTTTCCCGTTCGCCAGAGCTTTGCCCAAGGACGCTGCACGAAAGGAGCCGGATGTGCGTTTCTTCTGGGCATCGTTGGGAGAGATTACCGAGCGAGTCCCATTTCATTTGCCGCTTTGGATGCTTCCATTTGCCAGTCGGATTATGCTCGATTTTCCGGTTAAAACGGAATCTATCACTGGATCTGGTTTTAAGGGATTGAAGCAAGTGGAAGACAGGTAGCCAAGAAAGCCAGTTGAAGACGAAATATGGTTAGTTACCTAACTACCTATACTGGAATCTGGGATTCTTGAGCTGGGGAAGGGCTGGGGCCCAGTTGTTCAACCTTGTGTCTTTCGCAGATCTTGGTCGGGGAAAGCTTGGCTTTCGAGGAGTCACCTGCTTAGTTCACAAAGCAATCGTCCTTCGCAGATCTTGGTCGGGGAAAACTTGGGTTTTGGAGCCATTTCAGTGACACCCGGGGAATGAATCCCCTGAGTTCAGAAAGCAATCATGGCGACGGGGGAATGCCACCATTGAAGGGGCACGGGCACTCACCAGGTCCAATGGGGTCGCTAGCACTTCAATGCTTGTTGGTGCACGGAAAGCGTTAGACGCGTCACAACGTACGACCGCTTCCTGTTAGGGCTTCTACAAAAAGGATAACTTTGCAGCTTAAAGCAGTAGTTGTTCTTCCAAACAAAGAGGAGCCCGCTATGTTTGGGGGAATGTTCAGATGGAGAACAATAGGAGAACCCCTGTTCCCGTTCGATGTGATGTACGAACTTTGGGCATCTTGAACACGATTTGTCGCAAATGCACAAAGAGAAACGGAATTTGCAAGGGCAGCCCGATTTTTGCAGGCATTTGTGGGGGTGTTGCTTCAACATTAAAGGACCCCTCAAACTGGTTGGCTTCCTCCAAGGATCCGTCCAAAGTAATTTTGACCCCTGAAGAATCAAGCCGCAGTTGTGAGTCAGGGGGCCCCTCAACAATAGCTCGAAGTTTATGGGGTCGACATTACCTAGAACCACGGACAGATGTTGCTGATGCGCCCACAAAGGCGATCCTTCGGCGGGGAAGGTCAACAGACACTGACAAGCCCAAGGACATGTCTTGCCTGATAATGGGCAAGAAGCCCTGGCTCACACTTTCCCGGGCTCGCCTTGAACGAGCTGCGGCTGCGTGGGCTTGGCCTTCAGTTCGACGTCACGCGGAGGGCGGGGTGTTCAACCAGCTGCCCGCTGCAAGTGCCGGCTGAGGCCCCTGATTGCATGCCGCTACTTGGTTTAGTATTGCCAGGACTTCCTATTGGATTGCCAGCACTTAGTTTAGTATTGCCTAATCTAAGCTTAGTGTTGCCAGGACTTACTCTCAGATTCACAGTGCTTAGTTTAGTATTGCCTATTTAGTATTGCGGGACGTCCCTTTAGATTTTCCACCCACTCCGGGACTTAGTATAGTAGCTTCCACCTAAGATCGCTTTTGGGAAATGAACCCCGTTTTTCTCTTTGATTTGCAAGGGAGGACCCTTTTCAGGGGTTCCACAAAGGTCCATTGACTGGAGAAGCCCTGAAGAGGAGCCGGTGTTCCTACGCGAGAAGATCAAGAAGATGCAAGAGGAGCACAGCAAGGCGCGGGTGCATGCGGGTGCAAAATTTCGTTCCGAAGGGTCCTTTTTGTTTGAGGGCTTTGAAGAGAAACTAGAGGAAACCACACATGTTTTTCCGGTTGGAGCCAAGCTGAACCCAACCTGCGTTGCCTTGGGTAGTCTCCTTTGCGGCGGGTGCTGATGACTCAGACCGAGTATTCTTCTGAGGCCCTGAGTCAGCTTTGTAGATTCGAACGCATCGGTGTCAGATCTCGATGCAATTGCTGTCTAGTGGTATGTAGTCGATCATTCATGTACAAGCAGAAACACATGCATAACCGCATGCACATCATACATATGTAGAATCTATCAAATATTTTTGTGTCTGCATACCCACACCCACGCCCAACGGCAACGCACAACACAAGCGAAAGCGCACCCACAACCACAACCAAACCACAAACACCAAACACACCACGACGCGCAGAAACAACACACAACTGAGCACAATGACCGCACTAGCTCTTGTTACCACATCTTCCACTCTTCGCAAGGGTCGGCTAAAAGAAGGCCTGTGAAGCAAAACAACAGACAAGCAACCGAGAACAAAGCAACACCCCCGCAAGCAGCTCATGATTCTGTTCCCTAGGAGCTGGAAGATCTCAAGGAGAAGCTGAAAGCCGCGCAGGCAAAGAAAGAGGCGGGGACGGAATCCATCACTTCCGGCGGCCGAATCCATGTCAGGGCATGTGAATTTTGTTGAGGGAAGGATTTTGAGGGTTGGTTTACCACCTGTTTGGGGGTTCCTACAATTTGCCGCATATCCGTGCCGTGCGCCCATGTGAGCTGGATTACAGGACCCAGCAATTTTGACAACCCAAGTTCACTTAGGACCCAGATGTGCCAATGAACCCTGATTGACAGTCAAATGAGCGGCGATCGGCGACTCTCAGTAGATGGTTGTACTACCTAGCTCTATGGGGTTTACAATAAGGCCTATACAAATCTGTATGACCTTGCTGGAAGAACCAAAAGTGAATGGTCTTTGGGCAATGCCTGTATGGCGGTGGTACTGATGGAACAAAGTCTATTTTCCACTGTTACATTACACGACGCATGTGGACCAGGCGGTTCCGTTTCAGACAATTTCACACTAATTACATGGAGGAATCGACCCTAGTTAGGCTGAGCAACCCGACTCGCAAGTTTTGGTTGGGGGGGGAACACTAAATATCCGGCCACATGACGGCCAATTTAAAGTGAGTGTCCTCTTCGCGTCGTGATGTGCAAAGGGGAAATGTATGGAGCACTGTGGTAGACGACTTGAGTGGTACAATTTTCCGCGTGGAGGCACGCCAAGCTGGTTTCACACGAAATGGCAACACCTTGCTCCAGCAAGGGTTCGCGGGGTCATTTGTGCCATGGTCAACAGACCGGTTCCTTTGCTTGGAGTGAACAGGGATGGCCATCCACCTGATAATAAGAGACCTTAATAAGCATTGTATTGTATTGACCCAGGCTTGGGTTGCATGGTGCAAGTCGCAGAAATGCAAGTACGTTAAAGGCAGTTGGGGACCTGACCCCGACTGCCGCTCAAAAACGGATCGCGATTCCAGCAGAAACAAAAACAAACAAGCGACCCGCCGGGCGATTTTCAGCTTTGGAGCATTTTGCTTGGATGTGAGAGCTTTAACTTCTTGCCAGCTACTGGGTTTTCCATGAAAAACCACTGAAGATGAGTCACTTGTCGCAGGGGGAGCAGAACGCAGCCGAGTTTAGGCCGAGGCCGTTTAAGGCCAAACCTGAAGCGATCGAGCTTGGCTTTACACTCAAAGGACCGCACCTGGAGTTTTGGACTCGCTGAGTTACTTCCATTTGCCTAAGAATATGTTTGTTTATTTTCCCATTTTGGTTTAAAAAGTTGTTTTTTCACTACTGGAATTATTCTTTTCCGGGGGTCTTAACCAAATGGAAGGTTAGTAACTGGGTTATAAGCCGCTAATAACAAGTTGTGAACCGCACACGGTTAGTGTGGCTAAGAATTGCCTAATACTTGTGTGATTTCCCTTTGTTGGCTTGAAAGGGAATCAACAGTACATGTGTTTTTCCCCAAGGGACGTGTTTGCAAGTGGAGGATACTTGGATGCTCGATTCGCTAAGTTAGTAGCTGGTTGGACACCTGGGTTGCAACCCGGAAAGAAAAAGTTGTTCGCCCCACTTAGGGAAGTGAGTCATAGCGGGTTATATAGCCTAGGTGACCAGCCACTTATGAACTTCGCGAATCGAAGGCAAACAAAAAGCAGAAAGCCAAAACCTGAAGCCTCCATGACGCCAGTAGCCAAAATCATGGGATCATTGACCCATTCTTATTTTTAAAGGGTCAGAAGGAGACTCCAGGCATCTCTTTGAACACCTGGCTTTCCAGGGCTAAAAACCTCCCTTTCTAGAACAGGGTCGACAGGGCCAACCCCTCGGAAGAACCAAGGGATCAGCATCTACCCCGAAATAACAAGTTTCCAACAAATACCCTAAAAAAGAGGTATTTGGAGTAGAGGGGCTGCTTCTGTCCCAAGGATCCCTATGTCAGATATACGGCTCCCAAGCTTCGCAGCTGCGGATCGCACAGCCCGCCCCGATCCAAGCGTTTCAGGAAGCGCCCACCGACCTCGCGCCGGGGCCTCGGCTTCGTGGATCCGCGACATCGACCGGGAAGTCACCCTGGATCTGGAAGGGGTCATCTCGAAGAGCTGAGGTCATGATTGTCACGGTTTCGGGTGGCTATCAATTGGGGCGGCCTTCTTTTGATTCATTTTTGGGGGGGATGACTTTGATGGTAGTGGACGCAGGCGAGAGAGAGAAGAACAAGAGTGACATTGATCCACTGCGCTACTTCTTGCACTCAAGCAGAGCGACAATTCTCTTGGGCGCATTTGGTGTGTTTGAAGCAACCCTACAATTCCTGTTGCAACATATGTTTATATACGGACTACTCAACAAGGGCTGTACCAACTTTCTAAGTGCCTGCACCGTCCACTCTTGGGAACACCGTTTTAATGGCATTTTTTGTGTAGCCAATCCACTATGCACACCAAGCTCCAAATACCCTCTTTGTTTCATTGCATTTTTTTTGAAAATCGATCCGTTTTCCAGGGCAAATACCTCCTTGTTTAGTAAAGGGCCAGCATCATACCAACTACAAAAAAGGCCGGGTAGTATGTGTAGGCGGCCCCTTTTTCTCGAATCTTGCGCTTCAGTTGGACCAGGCTTTCCTTACTTCTTGCAACGCGCGGTGCGAGAGCTCGTAGCGAAAAAAAGCAGCTGGAACTTGGGATTTGGGGAACTTGGAATTATGGGCAACCATACGCAAACCTTCCAAAGACCTGGTTAAAGCCGAGTTGCTTTTCTTGGTTATTTAATGAACTTACGTGTAAGTTATATCCATGCTTATTGGAAAAAGGAGACGAATCCAGGTTATCCCACTTATAGGTTACAATTCACTTAGTTGGTTGAACATGTAAGTTTGTGGAGAGCCCTGCCGTTCCCTTTTGGGCGTCCGTTTTTAGGTGGGTGAAATGGGCATGTTCCCGGGATACAAAATCCACTCCCCCAAAATGCTCTAAACTCCGGAGTGGCAAGCCTGTCCCAGTTTTTGGGTATGCGCCCGCCAAAAAGGGACACCCCTCCTATGGATCCACCAGGCGTTTACAGTTCTGGGTCAACATTGCGCCAGGGTCAACGTAGATGCTGCCAAAAAACGCTTATGCGGATAGAGGGGGGTGACTGCAACAGCATGAAGATTGAATTCGCCATCCTTTAAACCCAGACAACTGTCCTGCTTTTGATGTGAATACACTTCGTGGATCAAGCTTCGGAACTTTTCAGTCTGAGGGTTTTTGTATTACACTCTGGGATTACACCCTTGGGAAATGACCCAGAATGCTTCAAAGTAGCACAGTTTTATCCGAAAATGTGCCTAAATGGGGTCAATACCCAGTGAGTGTATTCCCAGGGTGTAATTCACAAACCCTTAGATTCATGTGCAACTCCCTCTGAGGAGCTCCTTGTCAATGGCATCTAGCAAGAGCAAAGGCGGATCACGGCCGCTCGGCTGTCGCGATATGTGCTTCAATCGGCTGTTGCCTTGGTGTCCATTTCGCTTGATGAAAGTTATGAGCATGTGTGTGTGTGTTTTCACAAAAGCTCCCCCCCAAGTGGGTGGTTTCCTATGGTTTCCTTTTGGCTTCTGAGCGCATGTTAGCATGTGCATGTGCATTGGGATCTTTCGGAGGCTGCAGGATTTATGTGCGAGAGGGCGAGACACAGACGTCTGTCTCCACTGGCGCAAAACAAGCCTGTAGGACGGAAAGCCCCCCCCTGCCCGGGAAGGAGGGATCCCCCACGGATTCCCAGAGGCCAACAGCCAAAGGAGAGTTCATGAATTCAGGCAAGGGTGTGCTTGGGGAAGTCGTTGTTTGGGGAGTGGAATTCCATCGTTTGGACCAGTTCTGCCTTGCAAAAGCCCAAAGGGCCTTGCAAGCTGCACTGACCCGTTACTCGTTTGACGTAGAGGTGACCAAGTTCATGGTCAATCTCGTTGACGTTAGAAGACTCCCAGCCTACAGACCATTTGGTGGGGAACAAGAAGTTCAGACTCTTTTTGGCCCACTTACTCAGGAGACCTGGGTTTACTGAACTCGGTTTGTGCCCACCGGAAACTGGCAGCTTTGCCCCCAATAAGATTCACCAAGGCTCCATCGCTTTTCCAGGTTTTCCTCAAAAAAATGGACAAATAGAAACCGGGCTTCTACATGTGCCAGATGTTTTGTCGGTGTATCTTTCAGGTTGGCTGGGTGACAGTTCCTCACAGCTGGTTGGGAGTGTTTGGATATGCCGTGAGTTGTCTATCTCGACCATAGACTCACAATATTCATGACTGGTCGTTGATGTGCGCTTGGCCCTGTGAGGCCTTTTGGAAGCAAAGGGTTTCTCCATTGCACCTACAAAAAGGAACGACCTTTTGCTCACGGGGAAGACCAACCCCAGCAAATCGCAAATAGCCCAGCGTGTTTTAAACCCAAGTGTGAACGCTATGTGCCCTTCTTGGATGTTCAACCAACTCGTAGGTTGTAACCATGGGTTACAAGCGGGTTAAGTGGGGATAGACCCTTTCAACCAGGTTGAATCCTCTTAAGTAGCTTGAAAGTGACTCCTGGTTTTTGTCTTTATTCCTGGGCGGCAAAGGATTGGGGGGGGATAAGCCAGAAGCCAGAATGTGGTTCTAGGGTTGATTCCCCATTCTTTTCAACCATCGTTCTTTTCAAAAACCAGCTGTTTCCCCTGGTTCTGATGGCTTTCTGAAAAGAAGGATCCCTGGAAAGAATGGGGAAGTGTCCCCTAGAGTGGTGGTAATTCTTGAATGGGCAGGCCAATGTGTACCCCCTACACCCAACACCTTCTTTTGCATGGTGTCGACACTTCACTAAAGATGGGGGAGATTTACCCGTTTTCCAAAACATACCCAACAAAAGAGGGGAGTTGGAGTAGTACGGAGGGACATCCATTGACCATGTCATTTCCGGTGAGTTTGGCCGAACCAAAACTCCAACCAATTGTCCCAAACTCGAAGGACAGTTTGTTTCCCTAAGGGTAGGGTCTGGTTCAAACCAAACTTGGAGGGTTAGCTAAAAACAATCTACGATATATAGGCGCAGACCCGCCTTTTTGATTCTTCACAAGGCTTTACACCATTTTCATACCACTCAGTGGCTCCGCATGTTTCCCCACTATAGTAGTTAACCAGGGGTTTCCCCATCCATGATGTAAATCCTAGAAGCGATTCACACCGCACCTGGAGTCTCCATGACCCCTAAAAAATCGTTGGTCATTACCCAAAATCATGGTTGGTCATTGACCCATGTTTCCCAGGGTCAGAAGGAGACTCCAGGTGGTTTTGTGTAAGATCCCGTTCTTGGCCCCCATTTGATTTGTTTCCCATCTCTATCCCAGCCACAGCTGAGAGAGGCAGTACGGTTTTTTACTTTGACCCAACCCACTTTGAAAATCATGGCTGGTCATTGACCCATAAATTTTTCAGGGTTAGAAGGAGACGCCAGGCAGTGGGGTATGGTTTCTGGAGCCTTAAAAAATCGTTGGTCATTACCGAAAAATCATGGCTGGTCATTAACTTCTTTTTCCCAGGGTCAGAAGGAGACGCCAGGTACCAACAAAGGCCAAAGTTCTGGTTTTTGGAGTGGGGTGTAAGATGGGATTCCAGCCTCACGAAGGCCCCTTGTGGCCCAACCCACTTTAAAGGACCAAAACCCCGCGCCGAGGTTCGACAGCATGGCGGACATGCTGGCCTCCGCCCAACAGAGCTTCAGCACCCAGGACCCAGCTTCACGACGACGAGTGTCGCGTCTCGAAGCTCTTCTTCCAGTTGCCTAAGAATATGTGTCTGTTTGGGTTTTCCATGTTGGGTAAAAAAAAGACTTTTTCACTACCGGAATATTTTTTCTAGGGGACGAAAAAGCAAATGGAGGCCTTCGAGCTTGGAAGAGCCGAAAAGGGGTCAATCCGCATCACAAGGTGTTTGGGACGTTTAAATTCTGGGTTTGTCAGGAAGGATGTCCTTTTTGGCCAGCAAGCGCCTTTTCTGGAGCGAAGTTAAGGGAAGTGATTTCTGAAGCTTCCCCATGGCTGCAAAGACGGGCACACATTGGGCCGGTGAAAGGAAAGAGGAAGCCAAACCAATCCTCTACCCCAATTTGACTTTCCAGGGGCTTCGAGCAACCCTCAGCCACTCTAGATGGAAATAGGGTAAATCTGAGTTGATGTTTGTTCCACTGGCAAGCAGGAACCAACCAAACGATGCTTTGTGATGGCAATGCCTTTTGGTTGCCAACAACCCACTTCTTGATTCAAGATGTCCTTTTCTTGAGGCATCTTGAGGCTACCCCATTTTGGTCTACGGGGGAAACCGAAAGGAGAACCACACTGTGTCCTTAGACCCCAAAAGGGCCTTAAAGGCTGGACCGTAGATCCAGCTGCCGACCTGGAAAGACACAGGCTCACTGCCTGAGTTCCTGGATGTTGTTCTTTGGGCAGGCCATGGAATGATTAATTAAAAAATATTTCACCAGCTCAAGATTCAACTGCTATGTTGGTGGTAAACACAAAGAGTGCCTTTTCTGGCCAATCCACTCACGAAGTGAGTAGGCGGCTCGCATGTTGTTTAGCCACAAAACCCACGCGGGACCCACTCATTTTATCAGACAACTGTGCGTACTTTGATTCTGTGGCCATGAGTTCATTGCGTTAGTCTTGATGGAGGCGTGATGTCAGCAACCCATGCAACGGTGCATTCCTTCATTTACTGCCTGCGTATACACATATATATATATATATACACATGTAGTTTGCCTAATTATATGGGGTTGTCTTCACAAAGAAGCATTCCCCAGAACGCGGAATTTGGAGTTGGTTTCCCAACACAACTTCCACGAGGGTGCCAACTCCAATCACCACTCTAAACCAAGTTCAATCAGGGGTTTATTAATCTACTGCAAGCATTAGTTGGTGGCTTGGATTGGTGGTTTGGAGGTCAGGGTTCCCAAGAAGAGGTTCACATCCCCAAACGAATCCAAACCTTCCATTTCCTGAAATGAATATGTTTTTTGTTTTCCCCTGTTGGCGTTAAGAGCAATCCATCACTACTGGAAGAATTTGTTTTTTGCTCCAGCAAATGGAAGAATCTGCCACGAAGGGCAAGGCTTTGGCCGAGGCTTTGGCTTGTACATCAATGAGCCAGTTGCTCAAGACCGATTCGGGTGGATGAACATTAGGCACAGTCCCAGTCAGAAACAACGGCGGAGATCGGCCTTTGTTTTTCCTCACATGGATTTGGGTAGCCCATTTTTAATACCTGGGTTTGGCTGTGACTCGCATCCTGGGTGCCAGGACTTTAGTCACTTTTTTGGGAAGTCCATTTTGGTGATGCATATAAAGTTCAGACTTTTTCTGGCCAATCCACGAGAATAAGTTTCCTTACATGGATTTGCCTGGTTCATGGCCTGGGTTCACATGAGCCACAATCAAAACCCCGGATAGATGAAGGTTAGTAAGGGGCAGTCCCAGCCAGAAATTGTTTCGGAATTCCGCCTTCTTAATTCTTGAAGCATGGTTCTGGGATTACGACCACTTTAACACCGGGTTTTGAGCAAGTGACTCACATCGTCAGGAGCAGTTCACCATCGCCTGCAGCCTGCTCAAGGGCACGCCCAGCACCCAGGCCGACCCGATCTTGCGGCGATCGCTTGGTTCCTTTGGCCAGTGGTTGTGTGGGTATTTCTCAAAACGGGGGAAGCCAATTTGTTCAAGAATATGTGTTTATTTTCCCCTGGTTTTAAACGGAATCGATCACTACTGTTTTGTTTTTTTGGGTTTTGTTTTTTTGTTTTTTTTTCAGGGGGCTTAAGCAAATAAAAGGGCCCCAAAACAACTGAAAATCGGCGTTTCCCTTTCAGACCATAGACCATGAAACAAGACAAAGCCATGGGCTTTTGGAGGGCATTAGGGCATTGGGCGCGTGTTTTTTGAGGTACCTAGACCCTCACACTACACTTGAACAAATCGGCATTGCGCTGAAACTTCACAGGGAGTTTCCTTCTTTAAAGGTAGTTTCGGGGTCTATGCAGGTGAAGGGAGTTGTTTTTTATCCTATGTTGTTTCCGTTCGACTCTCAAGGCCTCGTTTGCTAGAACCGCTTGAACGGGTATCCTGACGATATGTGCTAGGAAGCTTCACAGAACTGAGGGGAGTTTTACCATGATTCTAGGGGTTGATTCTGTTTCCATTCGTTTCAACCATGCTTTCCAAAACCCCGCCATTGTTTATTGGTTTCCGTAGGTTTTTTAGAAGGATCCCTGGAAAGAATGGGGAAGGTATCCCTAGAATGATGAATGCAGCCGGGACATAGCAGATATCTCGCACTTGCATGCGGGTTCTATTTCTGTTGAAGAAAGCGACCAGTAGTAGGCCTTTGTAGATGCTGGAATGTGAGCATGACTTTGAAGCGTCTCAACTGCCTTCAAGTTCTTGGCAAAGAGCGACCCCTTGGAGATGTGCTCGTGGCATTCGATGGCTGCAAAGTGGGCTTGGCTGCTGTCAGCGACGTGGAGGTTTGGGTCTTCTACTTGAAGAAGCAGAAGCACCGCTTCCGGACGCGCATGGCGGCCTTCGGCAGCAAGAACTGAGCCCTATCTACCCAGAAAAATAGGGAATTCACACTATAGTTTTAGCGCACTTTTCCATGTTCCATTTTTTTTTGTGAGGGTACCCCTTGTTTGTGGCTTCAGCGGACAACAGGACAACCGAAGCCACGTTCGGGGGAGTCCGAATCCTGAAAATACAGAGAGAGAGAGAGAGAGAGAGAGAGAGAGCGAGACTCCTCGTTCAAGGGTCGTTTCAGCCTCTCGCTGCTTGAGTTCTTGAGAAGACCATCTTAGTGCTTGGGTTCGATTCGCCAAGTTAGCAAGTTGTCGCTAACCTGGGTTATAACCCACTTATAAGTCCCCCTAAGTAGGGTCAGTCTTGTTATTAGGGGGTTGCTTGCTAAACATCTAGGGCTACCTTCCCCATTCTTTCCAGGGATCCTTCTTTCCAGAAAGCCATCAAAAACCCAGGGGAAACATTGAAACAGCGATCGGTTTTTGAAAAGAACGAGGCTTGAAAAGAATGGGGAATCAAGGAATCAACCCCTTGCTAAGAGCTTTTGCTCACCTGGCCGCGCTCGAACCTCCCAGCGCTGGGTTTCGCTCGAGACAGGTGACCAAGACCGCGGAGCTGCTGAAGGCCAGAGAAGCAGCAGGGCTCGATTCGATGTGAACTCGAGGGGCCGGGAAGTTCCAAGTACTTGGCTCGGTGTCCAAACCAAAAAACGGATGCCCCTTTTTGCCAGGGAATCGGCCCCCTTATATACAGAAAAACCCACCACTTGGATGGTCTTTCTAGGCTTGCCTCTTAAAAACACAAAGCTTTTCTCAACTTTTTGGGGTGACATGGGCAAAAAAAGTCTGTAAAAGATGAGAACTTCCCCAGGTTGCTTGGAGTTTTAAGGGGTAAGTAACAAGAAAAGGATGCCCCTTTTTCCCCCCAGAGGCTCCTGGACCTTTCAATGGAAGACCCGACCCCTCCATTAGACACCCGGGAGGTGGTTGGGGGTCTCCATTTACAGGCCCTAAATCAATCGGGAGCTTCTGGGCCATGGAAATCCACTGGTACCCTCACTCCCTCACCTTTCCGAGTTCCGTGAATCGGACTTTGGGGGCTAGATCATTTTAGCGGTACCGAGGAAGTGAGTGGCTACCTCTTCGAGGGTTGCGGTTGCGGGAAACCACAGGTCCAGGGGCCAAGAGACGTGCCGCTACGCAGATTGCCCCTGATATCCGACGGGGAACTCTGGCTACCAGTTATGTATCCGTGGTGTATTCGAGCTGTGGTAATTGTTTTTGCGCCTAATTTGGGGTGCAAAGGTTCTTCCATGTCTCTTGTTGGAGCCTCCAACACCACCAGAAAATTGATCAACGGTTGATTTGGGGAACCTCAGTGACCCCTGGTTGGGACCTTGCTATTGGTTGATTCCCCATTCTTTTCAACCATCACTCTTTCCAAAACCCGGATCCGTTTTCCCCGGGTTTCCGGAGATTAGAAAGAAGGATCCCTGGAATGGAAATGGGATAGATAGCCTAAGAAAAGGCTTACCCTTCCACCAACATGGCACCTCTTCAAGGGGGTCCCTACAAGAGGAGATTGATAAGCCGCCTTCCAGGGCTGATGGAGGGGCCGGGTGCGCATAGCCTGGCCTAGCCGTTGCGAGAGCGCAGGCCGTGGTGGAGGATGCGCGCCCGAACCTACTTAAGGCGTGGGATGTGGGGGGGGGAGGGGGGGAGGTTGGTGGTGGACGCTGGGGGTCTATGTGGGTGTGGCTCAAAATTGAACAAGAGGGGTTACGCAGGTTTTGGTCCATGTTTCCACTTACCAGGGTTCCATTTTGGTACCGGCTTTTTGAGCCACAGCCATATGGCTGGCTTGTCTTTTGTGGTTGATGCACTTTGTGATGACCCCGGATCAATAGCCCCACTTGTTTTTTCGGGTCTCCTTGGGTTTAGTGGGAAATCTGCAGATCAGCATGGAGCCCTCTTGCGCAGACGAACCTCCTTTCTCACTTCCTGAGTTCCTGGACTTGATATGTTTTGATAAAGACCAATTCAGCGGTAAATATATATATATATATACATACACACTTGTTTGACTTCCACGTTGACTTAAGGAGTAGCACCTCACGGCTTTTGCATGCGGCTCTTCAGGTTCTAAGCTTGCAGCTTGAGCAGTTGCTGGCGCGATCGCTTGGGCCGAGGGAGCCCTGTGCTACTGCCTGCGGGCTATAAAAAGCTCATGGGGCCAATAAAACAAAAACCGGGCCATGGTCCCCCAGTCGTGCCAGACCTATCACCCCTTTCTTGGTTGGGAGGGCCCCCAAAAACACAAATAGACAAAGAAAAAAACAAGTGGGCGCCAACTTCTTCTAACCTCTCAAACCTGGAGGACCTCGTACAGGGACTTGGTTGCCGGACATGTCTCATCTTAACCGGTGGACTTCAGATGGAACTCTCCGGTACTCGTCAGAAGTCCCGCTTTCGCTGCCTTCCATTCGGCCTCTGAAAGCTTCCGGAGAGGGCCCCAGCCGAAGCGGTGTCGGTAGACTCAGGAGACTCGCGGTTCTTGGAGCGTGATTTGTTTTCAGTTTTCTGGTTCTGTTCATGTTTTATTTGGGGAGTCTGCAAAAACAGTCGGTTTTTTTGGGCAAGCCCATACCAAGAGTAGAGATGTACATGTTACATGCCAGTGACTCAAAGTGAAGCAAACAATGAAAATATACATTCTATATCTGGGCCTAACTCCTATCATGTTGTGTGCTTCCATCATCCAGGGGATTTTGTTTTATTGTTGACCTTCAAGTTTGGTTTGCCAAAACTGGGTCCCTCAAAGTGAACATGTTGAGGCGTTCTCAAAATTGCTTTTGGTTGTCCACCCCCTTTTGCCTTCCTGTGGGACAAGGCAGGAGTCTGGCTTTCCTTTTGAACGAAGTTGAAATCACTGAGTGGCCCTGTAAGGCACACTGAGTGGCGCCTAGCCCATTTTGAGTTACTTGCTCAAAACCTGGGGATTGATGAAGCTTAGGGACGATCCCCTTGCCATAAACAGCTGCGGAATTCCGCCTTCTTAGTTCTTGAAGTATGGTTCTGGGTCGACCATTTTTGTACCGGGTTTTGATTGTGACTCATTTTGGCCCGAAACTATAAGGTACCTTCTGGCATACCCCATTCCATGAAAGGTTGGAATCATCCGCCCTGGCCCAGTTCTGGTCCATTCTCCATAAACCCTTTGGGGTATGTGGCAAACTTGGGCTTGGAAAAGAGCAAAATCCACATCTAGCTCCCCCAGTAGTGCCATTTTACCCTTTTTTTGGGGAGGGTTCCCCTAAAAAAGACTACAGAAACAAGTTGGTACCCTTATTCTACCCTCTCTACTGGAGGACCTAGACCTGACGCATGTGTGTTTGTGTGCGTGCGTGATTTTTATTTTATTTTTTTTTGGGGGGGGGGGGGGGGAAAATCATCCCCGGTCCTTTGGGGTTTTGCCCATCGGAGCCCGCCAGGAGCTCTTGCTGCTGGAGCATCCCTCCTTGGGCTCTCCCAAGATGCGGCTCGGCGCGGCGCAGAAGTCCGGGGCCCCAGATCGATGGGCGCTCGGATCGATCGAGCGGAGCCGTTGTCGGTTTGCTTAAACAGATGGCCCTGGTTTACATGGGGTTTATTTTACATCTACCAGGGCCATCTATTTTTCCAAAAGGCCACCTATGGTTGACCCCCCAGTTGCCATGGTGTACTTCCATTTGCTGAATAATATGTCTTCCCCTGTTGGTTTTAATGGGAAATTATTTTGGTTTGTTCTTAACCAAATAGAAGATAATGGACGAATTCCCTTATCACCACGAAATGAAACCATGGGAAATTATTCTTTATTGGTATTTGCATGGGAATCGAATCATTCCAGGTTTCTTACGTGGTGCAGGGTTTCGTGCATCCGCAGTGTTCAAGGTGCAATAGATGAGGAAACATATTCCAAGGTGAGAAAAAAAAGGTTCCCATATGAATCGACCCCAGTTTTAGTAATAGGGGGGTGCTTTTCCCTGGGTGAAATGTGGGGAATCAGACCATGTTTTTAAGGGGACCATCGAATAATAAGCTGGGGTTGATTAATTTGAGGTCAACATCACATAGAACTGGAATCTGCCAGTCAAGCCGCCGCAGTAGGTAACCAGGCGAAACCATGCATGGTAACCTAAAGGTAAGGATGCGGGGGGGTTACCTGGAAGCACTGGGTGAAACTTGGTGGTTCCCAGCCATCCGGTTCAACTCAAGTGCTTAGTTGTTATTGGTTGGTTTAGTGCTTTGGTTTCTATTGCACCAACTAAACAATATTCACTTTTAGCAGGGGATCTGAGGACAGCCCAGTCATGAAACTGGAGTCTCTTGTTGCTTTACGTGCCACTACCTTAGAACAGCATGGGTTTGGGTTTACGTGTGTTGTACATCTATAGAGGTTTGCTCCAAGGTGGTCCTTTCACACAATGATATTGCATTTCTAGAAATACCCAGCGATCCAGTTGCCATAGCAGGTATGGGAAATGATCATGTTGTATATGGTAAAAACAAAAACCTTACAGTGGCAAGTGATCATGTAAAACCTGGAAATAAAGCCTTCCCTGCAGTGGCTTGCCTGGAAGGATTGGGTTCGCTAAACATGGAGGCTGAATCTCGATCTTGGGTTGGAGGGCAATGAGGTACGAAATGTAACATCTCACTCGTGCCCCAGTGTAAGGGGCAGATCACAGTCAAACAGGAAGTGGATGACCATTTGCCCACTTACCAACAGATCGCAAACGGTTGCAAACTGGGGCGGTCGTTTTGAGGGGTACACTTTTTGGGATTGGTTTGAAGGGGAAACCGGAAGCAAAGTCGAACTCCTCTTGGGTGTTGGGGCCCAATTTTGACTCTTGGCTGCAGGGTTTGGAAGCTAAAGCTCGGCATCAGAGATTCAATACAGCAAGGCTTGAAGAGATGAGTAGATCTAGGGCTACCTTCCATTTCCATTCTTTCCAGGAATCCTTCTTTCTAGAAAAACTTCCAGAAACCCTTGGGAAATGGCTGGTTTTTGAAGAGAACGATGGTTGAATGGAATGGGAGAATCAGCCCCTAGAATAGAGCTGTTGCTCACTTGCCGAGCTTCTGGACTTTATCGCTTTTTTAGGAAGACCATTAGAGTGGAAAGGGAGGAAACAGACCAGGGGACTTGCGGAGATTCGTAAAACGGTCCGGGGCATCGCCCCAACAGCCCTAGTTGTTGGCCGCTTAGTGGTTCTTTTTCGCGGGTCGGGAGTTGCTGTTCAGTACTTGGATGGTTTAGGAGGAATCGCATGGTTCGCTTTGCCCTGGTTGTTGCCCACCAAAGCCATGGTTGCAAGTCCCAGAGAAAACAATCCATGTAGCTAAGTCCTGTTCGCCACCTAAGGAAGGCTTGTTTTTTGGTTATGCAAGTATCCATGTAGCGAAGTCCAAAGCCAACCAAGGAAGGCTTGTTTTTTGATTATAACCCAAGCCATGGTTGTAGGTCCCCAAAAAAGACCAGGGCAAAGATATCCATTTCGCCAAGTCCGAGACCGAAGTAAGGCCCATCCGAGTCAATGGGTAAGGGCGCCGCTCTGGTCATGGCTAGAACACCCGCAACGCAACGAACGTTTTTTGGCATCGCTTTCCAGAAAGTGCCATGCCAGGAGCTAGAATGCTTTTGGAGGCCAAGCTGACTTGGCCAAACCTTTTGACCTTTTAGTTTCCCCTTTTTGGTCCATTGCTTGTCAACTTTTGTTTTGCGTCCCTAAGGGGCGACTGAGCTAGGAATAAAGTGACTCCTAAACATCTTCGTTGTTGAGCAGTCCTTGCAAGATGCCCCGAGCTGAAGCTTGAAGCTCAACCTGGCTCCCGCATGGATCCAGGAACTGCAGGTTTGTTGTCTAAGATGGGACACCCCCCCAATGAAAATCAAGGCGGCCCTGCTGAAGCCAAGCCGCCCATTGCCTCAAGACCTATCCAAGGAAGAACTTCCGTTTCAGGGGAGCCCGAACGTTCACCAAAGGGCAATCATGCAATGCGTGTAGCATCCAAAACTTTGGCAGGGTCCCACTTGTTAACACATTTTAGGCTCACCCAACCTTTGACCTTCAACTTGCTTAGGTAAGTGTTGCTTTGCACGACCCTATTTAAGCCCTAAACCCATTTGGGTGTTCCTTTTTTCATGGGTCCCCTTTGGCGTGCTTTAAAGGGAAAGACAAGGAAGCCAAGCATTTCTTGGGCCCCCAATCTTGAGACAAACACATTTGTTAGAACCCATCCAACATGTGAGGTCCTTGACTTCTGCTTTTGCAAAGCTTTGGCTTCAGGTGTGTGATGATTGATTTATTCTTCGTCCCAGCCCATTCACGACGATTTGACCGAAGATTCCCTGCGTGTGCGGCTCATCCCCTGCCCAACATTGGCAGGGCCCAGGAGGCTAGTGCGAAAAGGGCCAGAACAGGGGAGGCACCAAGCGCACCTCCTGCCACTTTGTCGGCATCCACTCCTTCTCCCCTTCCTGGACACCGGCTGAGTCTGTTCGAACATCATGGGCCAGCCAATTGCAATCTACGACTTTTCCAGGGGCCTACCATGTCTGCCCATCGTGCGGGCAGACCAGTGCCCGGTGGGAGATTTACCAGCGGGTAACTGGCAGGAGATGGTTTAGGTGCACTCGGTTCCGGAGTGGGACCTGCAAGTACTATTTCTACAGTCCTCGCAACTTCGATTGAGACTTTTTTTGTACAGAGTTTCGCGTGAATCGTGATCTCATGTTCTTTTGAATCCATGCTCGCAGCGTCAGTGCTATCCAACTTCGATCCTGGCCCAAGGCAAACTTTGGTTCTCAGCGTCTTTTTTTAGCTTGAGATATCTGTTATTCTTCTTAGGCTTGGGCTAGTTGCTGAAATGAATATGTGATATTTCCCCGAGTTGGTTTTAAAGGGAATCTATCACTACTGGAAATAAGTTGTTTTTCCCCAGGGTGCTTAAGCAAATGGAAGTGTATGTCCAACGGGCCATTGTCCTCTCAGTTTCAAAGGTTCGTTGGTTGCCTGCTACACTGGTAAATGGAATCACTAGGACTTGTTCTTGGAAGGTCTCATGGAATGATACACTGGACGTTCTGATTGTTCCTTGCGATAATCCATTATGGCTTCAAAGGTGATAGCCGTATTCAGGAACAGGCACATCAAACAGAAAGGGCGCACATGCTTTCAAGCAAGGGGTGTACGCGCAAAACATGAGCAGCAGGCGAAGTTACTAGTGCCTGGCTGGAGTCTTCGTGACCTGTAAAACATGGAGTATAAGAGGGTCGTGATCCCATTGTTCAAGGGTCACGGAAACTGGTCAACACACAAACAAAACAAGAGGTTCGGGCCCAAATGAGCCACAATGAAAACCCGCCAGCCAGAAATAGTTTCGGCCGCCTTCTTAATTATTTACATGGTTGTGGGTAGACGATTTAATACCGGGTTTGATTGTGACTCAAATTGTTCCATGTTCTTTTGGGTCTAGCTTCATATGGTGCACTTCTTTGCACGAACAAGGGTTCTATTGTGGATGTGCTACACAAAGTTTCTAGAGAGGGGAACCTCTTCGTGTGTGTCATGTCAAAGTGCAGGAGAGGGCCAAGTTGACGTGGCAAAAGAAAGAAAAACACGCTCACACTTTTGATTTCCCCCTTTTTTTGGTGGATTCAAACATCACCTTTCAAGTCAGCTTCCCTCTGGTGTGATGCTTCAAGTGGGAAATATGTGTCTGCCTTTCTCTCGAAGGGTCGGGGGTGCCCTGTTTTTCTTAGACTTTCAAGTTACAAACCACAAGGAACGCGTGTCGGCAACGTGGGAAAGGACCCTGCAAGCGCTTGTGATTTTGTTTTGTTTTGTGTCGGGGGTGCCCTGTTTTTTTGCTTTTAAAGGAAACACACGAGGAACGCCGCCCGGTTTTTTGGGTCCAACCCGGCAAAAGACGAGCCGCCCATATCGGGACGGACTCAGTCACAGGCTGATCTCCCAGCTGCCGGAGGCTCGGGCAGCCTTGCCCCAACTTGCCCCCGCTTGTCCCATGTCTCACTTCCTGAGTTCATGAACTTTAAACTTTTTGGGAAGACCATTTTAGTTGTAATTGTAAAGTTTGAACCTTTTTTGGGCCATCCACTCAGCCAGTGAGATGTCCAGAAATCCTCTACTGTACAAGCAGCAGTTGGGATGCTTTCTACCTGGCTTCATATCATATGGGTATGCAACCAGCGGCACTGGTGTTTGAAAGGTACCTGATGAATTCCCCTTCTTCACCTAGGCCCCCCAGCTAGGTGCCCTTTTACACATTGTTTTGGTTGGGAGGGTTCCCCGTTACTAAAATAGACTACGGAAAAAAGGGTACCCTTATTGCACCCTCTCTACTGGAGGACCTAGACAAGCAGTACCTGGAGTCTCCTTCTGACCCGAAATGAAAATGGGTCAATGACCAACCATTACTTTGGGTAATGACCAACCATTCTTTAAGGATCAGAAGGAGACTCCAGGTAGTGGGGGCCCTGGTGCCGGCAGAAGGGCCTTTTTTCTGGGTTCCAATATTTGGGTATGGTCTACACAACCAGCACCAGCGCCGGTGTCCCTGATGAATCCCGCTAATTCACCAGGGGTAGCTTTTGGTCCTTTCAGTTTCTGGGTTCCAACACCCAAGTCCGAGTATTCTCCAGCTTTCGGGAAATACTCTCTCATACTGTGGATGGACGAAATCCTGCACCACCTAAGAAACCCTGGAATGATGATTCTGTAGATTCCAACTAACCTTGTTTTCCCATGGTTTCCAAGTGGTGCAGAACAAAACACTGGACTCCCAAAAAGACGACCATCAGACTTTCGTGTGTTTTTCTTTTTACAGGAACACCCCTACCTGGAGTCTCCATGACCCTTCAAAAATGGTTGGTCACTACCCAAAAGAATGGTTGGTCATTGGCCTATTTTTATTTTTTTAGGAGTCAGAAGGAGACTCCAGGTACTGCTTGTTCTAACTAGGCCCTCCAGTAGAGAGGGTAGAATAAAGGCACTCTTGTTGCCGTAGTCGGTTTTAGTAAGGGAACCCTATGGAACCCTCCCAGCAAAAATGTGTGTAAAAGGGCCCAGGATCCCTATGTCAGATTCCATGTGACAGGAGGGTCTTGTCACTCTGTACAGTCAAGCGTGTCCCAGCGCCCAAAGGCCCCAAGGTCGGGACTTTCCGGACCGAAACGCGGGCCACGTTTTTTTTGGTGTATCCCATAGATGTTTATTTTCTCTGTTTTTTTCTTTTTTGTGTATCCCATCAGTGTTGCTTTTTTGATTGGCGCGTGTTTTTTTTTGGTGTGTCCCGTATCCACCCATGTTCAACCTCCAGAGGCTCCTGGCTTCGGCTTTCAATGGAAGACCCGACCCCTCCATTAGACACCCCGATGTTTGGGGGTGTCAAACCCGGCTGTTTGAGGGCCTTAAATACATCAGGAGCCTCTGGGTCGTTCTTTTGTTGTTTGTGTATCTCATCAAGGGTTTTGTTGTTGTTCTTGTTTTTGGTGTTGTGTCTTCTTCTTCGTTTTTTTTTGGTTGTTTTTTTGTTGGCATGATTTTTGTTTTTGGTGTATCCCGTATTCCCATGAGAATTCGTCAATTTTGGGCGTCTGGGGGTTCCGCTCGTCGCCAGGAGGACATGGCGTCGGTGGCGCAGATCATCCCCCTGGTGCTGTGCAAGGAGCTGGCGGTGAAGGCGGCTGTGCGAGTCACCGAAGGAACCGAGTCACCGAGTGGGCGGTTCATGGGGCCAGCCCACTCAGGTATATATAAGAAATATATATATATATATATGCTATCCCCCCCCCCCCCAAACCTAGGTTTCATCACTCTTCAAGTGGATATATATATATATATGGGTTTGTTTGTTTTTTGCCGGTGTCCAGTTTAGTCAGGGCAGGAAGTTCGACGGCGGCGAAACATTCCCCCGAATCATACCTCGAAACATACCCCCGAAACATACCCCCTCCACAAACTTCTTGGGTTGGCAACGGCAACCAAATACAAACCCATATATATGGCTGTGGGTCAAAACCGTTTTGGGATCCCATTTTGGGGTAGGTGGAAATGAGCTGCAAGGTCTCCTCTTTTTCTTGCTGGTGCTCAGCTGGGAATGACCCAGCGTGTTGGGAATGAACCGGCAAGGGGATTCCCTTAAAGGAAGCCATAGTGGATGGTCTATCGGGGGGCATTCCCTCATTCCCTGCTGAGTAGAAGCAAGTTTACTGGGGAATCCGGATCGGGTGCACCCCCCAGGAACATATTTCGGGCTCATCAATCCGAGGTTCCCATCAGCTTCAATTGGTGAAAGGCAAGGCTAACCGGGGAAAGCCTTGAGCTTCTCAATTGATTTCTGGGGTTAGAGGAGGCAAACGTGGTTTGGCTTCTTCTTCTTCGGGAGCCATCAACTCTGATGGGTGTACGACCCAATTTGGGCATGATCATGGAGACTATACGGCTCCCAGCAAGCGGTTTGCCCTGTGTTGCCCAGAGGATCCTCGTAAGCTCTATCTAGATTGTTGGTGCTTCCCCCCCCAACACCAAAATAGTTTGTACTTGGATCCCCAGCATGTAGTTAAACAAACATCTATGTGTATATATATATATATATATACACAAATAGATATATATCCCCCCCCCCGCAGGGCCTACCTTTCGGCTTCAAAATGTGTATATATATATATATTTATTTATTTATTTATAGAGAGAGAGAGAGAGAGTCTGTCGAAATAGGGTGCAGGGCTGAATAGGCATTGGTTGCCTGTTGATTCTACATTTTAAGGTTCACGAAATAATGTGGATGGACAAAATCCAGTTTGCACCACTTTGAAACCATGGGAAACTGCTATTTGCAGGGGAATCATCAGAAACCAGGGAAGCTTAGGTGGTGCAGGATTTCGTCCGTCCACAGCATGGACCAATCTCAAGCATCTTGCTTGTTGGTGGGGCCTGGGGTAGTCGAATGACTTAATGTGGTTTGTCTATGGTCAATGTGACTGTACGAGGGTTCCATTTCAGCCATAATTGTGTATTTCGCTGTAGGCTGGCGTGTTTGTTTTCGAGAATGGGTTTACCCCCGACTAGTGATTCTCACCCACAACCCAAACAGAGGTGGCTGCTTTAAAACCCAGCTATTTACCTCACTCCCTGAATTCCTGGACTTTATAGTTTTTGGGAAGACCGTGTTAGTCTGTGGTGAACAATCAGTTTGTATTTTTGGGTCAACCCGCTCAGGAAGTGAGTAGTGGACTTGCAACATCTTGCAGCATCTTAGAGCTATGTGTGGCAAGCCCTTGGTTACAAAACCAGGTGAATGGATCCGCTGGGACCCGTAGAAGCCCGTTCGTAGCACCGGTTTGCCCTTTCTGTGGCGTTCTTGCAAAGTACAAATCGGGACCCCCAAGCCCTTGATTCCCCCCCAAAAGACGACACCAACTTGAGTCAAAAAGGCGATAAGCGCTCGTCCTCGCGAGCAAAGTCTTGGGTTCCCTCCCGCTGTCAAAGGACAGCCACGGGTTCCCTTTTCAAGTGATAGGTTGGGTGGTTGCCTCAAAGTTGGAAACCACCTCCCTTGCCGTCATCCAGGGGGGGTACAACGGGGCCCTCAGAATCCTTCCATTTGCTTAAGGATATGCGATATGTGGTATTTCCCCTATTGGTTTTAGAGCGAATCTGATAACTTACCACACCGAAAATAAGTTGTCGTCTTTTTGGGGGGACGTATTCGCAAGGCAATACAAGAACCAATGGCCCTGGAAGCTCCTTGTGGCTTCCGAGGACTTTGAATCAGGCAACGTTTGGGATCGGGCAACCTTACGTGCTGGTGCGTCGGATCCCTAGGTTCAGAATGGTTGGAATGTATCCCTAGATTCCATGTCTCATTCCCTTCTGAGCGCCAGCAAGCTTAGATGATGAATTGGATCGCTGGGATTTGGGGCCCCAACAAACCATCAATCCGCCAATGCTGATTCTCGTTTCCCTTGAAAAGAAACCTGAAAAGGGAAACCAACACGAAAACCAGAGCCCATTTTGGGTGTTTGATTCCTGTCTTAAGACATGTCTCAAAATGGTTCCCTTTGCACCCCCAAACAAAGTATCCTCAACAACAGAACGAGCCACCCCACAAAAACGGGAAGCCAGCTGGCCCGGTGTGTTTTTGTTACTCCAGGTTTCACCAGGTTGGTTTTGGGTTTTGTCTGGCAACCACCCACCTTTTGCGGGGTGAAAAAACCAAAAACGCCGTGGAGCTTTCAGCTGCGAAGCGCCTCCCTAACCCACCCGCTTCCATCCCCCCCGAGCGACCCCCGCGCCCCGAGCGGGCGCGAGCTCCCCCGAGCGGACCCGAGTCGGCAGGTGCTGGAGGCTTCGGCGACACAGGACGCCGCCGGGGAGGAGCACTCAGAGAAGGCGCTCGACTCTCGGTCCGCGGATCGCGGTCGCGCGCGCGGAATGGGCGGGAAACGGGGACCCGGGGGGAAAAATAGGGAGGGCTCTTGGAGGCAGAGGCCCTTGGCTTTCGGATGGTTTGCTGGCCTGTTCCTTTTCTTTTTTTTCCGGTGTGCCTTTTAGCCACGCGGACCTTTCTGGACCCCTTTTCTCTGGCCCCTTTCTGTGTCAAAGCGATGCTTTGGGCGGTTTTCGAGGCAACCAGGAAAGGTACTTGAACCCTGAACAGAACTTTCACATGTCTTACTTGGATACTTGGCTAAGTTAATAACTGGTTGGTTACTTCGGTTGTAACCCACGAGCAAGGTTTAACCCCACGTTCATGGGTGACCTAAAATTTGGTTCTAGCCTAGGTCACCAACAACTTCTAACTTGGCGAATCGAAGACCCAAGTTTGCACCGGGCCGTTTTTCATGTGGCGCATCCGGTTACGTCACTTGCTGGGTTACGTTAAAGGGACTTGAGCAAACTTTCTGGGGGAGGCTAGACCATTTTAGTGGTAGACAAGTGACTTTTGTCGGAGAATCCACTCGTTCGGAAGCAGCCACTGCATTCATGGTAAAACCTACAGGCAAGAAACCCGAAGGATTGCCTACCATAGGGGAAGCTGGAATCGCTGGAAAAAGAGCTAGGGTTTCGTAGGTTGTAGTCTGTGGTTCGGATTACATTTGTTTGAGCCACGGCCATTTGATATTCACACCCAAATCTAGACATGCAATGGCACCCACAGATCTGTTGCAATGCGACCAGATTCTACCATTCCAATCAACCCCACTGGATTTACCAGCGGGCAACCTTGTTTAAAGGGTTGTTTCGGTGAAGCGAACCACATGGAAAATTTGGTGTTCAGGTGACCATTCTCTCTACTCGGGAGCCTCCGTCAAAGTAATCGTCACAAGTCTGGGAACTTTGGGTCGTGATTTTGGTCCAATGAGTAGCACCCACTGACCCTTGATCTCGTTTGCGAATGTGTGGAGTAGGTGGTTCTACTACGTGGCTGAATTGGGATTATAATGATTGTAGCAAAACCTGTGCAAAGCTTTATGAACCATGTGCATCTTAACGTGCCTGTGGCACTTGTAACACTACCCCCTACTCCAAACTCCAAATACCAACTTTTGTATGGTATTTTTTGAAAAGCCTGGGTTTCCATGGAAAATCCATTTTTTAGTAGAGGGTCGACATGCTACCTCAAAAAATGAAGGTCTCGGGTGTAAGGGGTATACCTTCTTCTTGAGTGGATTGGCCAACTGTTTGCCCCAACTTTTTGTTTACCATCAACATCGCCTTATTCAAACCTCTCTACTGGAGGACCTAGTTTTTGAACCATGTGCGTTTTAACGTGCCTGTGGCGCTTGTAACACGTATATTCTATATGTCCACCTCACCGCTCCGTCCGTCGGCTTGCCACTCACGCAGAGCTTCGACCCCAACATCGACCTGAGTTCGGATGCTCAGAATGGCGCGCGGCAAGTGGCTCAAGGTCTGGCTGGGCGCAAGTCCAAGTTGCGGCGCGAATGTATGAATATATATATATATATATACATACTATCATATGTATATAGTTATATATATATACATACATGTATCTATGTATTTATTCATTGATTTATTTGTTATGTATTTATTATTTACTTATTTATTGTTTATTTATTTATTTATTTATTTTTTATTTTTTATTTATTCAATTTATGTGTGTGTTTGTACCCATGTTTGGTGATCAATCCACAGATGTGGTCCGGGCCATTTTACGGTATCTGAAAAACAGGGGGCCATCATACCAAATACAACCTGGTTGAGATTTGGGGCCCCTTTTTCCCTTTGTTTTGGTGGCTGCCCCACTAAAAATGGTCTTCTTCAAGAAGGGTTCCCTTTTTTTCCAGGGTCCCTGAACAACTGAGGGCCATACTATTTTTTTTGTTGCAGTGAATGGTTCGTTGGTGGCCCCCTGCTGCGCGCTGTCGCCCGAAGCTGATGAATCATGCTTAATGCGAGGTATTGGTGGTATTTCCACAAGTTCGACTCTACCTTTCCGGTCTCCCTGCCTGTCGCTTATGGGCTGGTGCTTGAATGATGTTCATGCAGGAACTGCATAAGCCATAGACTACTGCGGATTTGGCCTTATGTAGTGAATTCCGCTCCTGTTCGGCTATGTTTGCTTTTACTATGAAAGCCCATATAGTTAGAAAGTTGTGGGACGTCAAAGCCAAACTAAGCCGTGACAAAGATGATCACGTTGACTTCTGATGAATCCGGTGTACTCTACTAGTCCGAGGAACCCCCCAAAACAGATAATTAATTGCCTGGCTAAGTGTGGCAACCGCGCTTTATCAGTACAGTCTTCCGGATTATTCCCACGTGAATATGAAAGTGCGATTTGTTGTATTGTTGACCCAGGATTAATAAACCCCTGTTTGTGAACATGGGGGTGTCCCTGGTTTTGGTGGTTGGATTTATCACTCTTGGAGGGGAACACCCCCATATGAATAAACAGGGGCGCAGTAGTCCGGGGTCAACTTTGCCCCCTTTCTTCCGACGTTGCCCCTTTGGTCACGGAGTGCAGTGCGCTGAGGCAAAAAGTGCAAGTGGTCGCTGATGAGGAGGCGCGGGCGTGTCTCAGCCGTATCAACTAAGTAAGTTTCTCCAAGTAATGTTAACCACGGATTAAGCAGAACCCCCGGTTGATTTTGATTGGGGGGGGTCCCCTTTTAGTGGTTGGATTCATCACTTTTGGAGGGAACACCCCCCTAATGGGACGGGTTTATTAATCCTGGGTCAACATTAGTGGTCCAAGTTTCGTTTGGACCTTAAATAATAAACCCCTGAGGCGGATGCCCAAACCCCCCCTACCCCAAGCTTCATGATCGATTAGGGACTGCAATCAATTCTGCAGAAAGCACCCCACACCCCTCCACCAGGAGCGACATTGCCCAGCCGTTTGCTGACATTGGTCACCCGAGCTTCCAGAATGAGCTCGGCACATGCGCAACACCCCGACAGCAAAAGCAAAAACGAGTGGGCACAGCGGGACAATGACCAGTCATGGAGGAGCGGGGTGACCCCTCGATTTCCATTTCAGCAGTTTTTTTCTTTGTTCAGATGAAAGTCCCAAAAGGCTCATTTCTGGTTTCAGGAGGACGCCCCACCCCTCTCAAGGCCTCAAAGTAGGGTCTCAAGGCTCGAGCTATCCCGCATTCAAGAGCCCCAAGAAGCGGTCAAAGTACGGGGTCGCCGCGTCGCCTGCATTTCCCCCAAGGAAACTCACCTCGAATTGCCCCCAACAAGGGATTCCTAAAACACGGGCGAATATACACATATATTCAGTATCGCCAAAGCCGTACTTAAGCATAGCCTTGCTCAATGGGGTGGCTCGCTTGCAGATCTTCCCGGGGTGTTCATGTTCATGAGTAGGATCCTGACATCTAGGTGAATATCTACAGTGACACATAGTAATACACATGATGCATGCATGCATTGCATGTATTACATGCATTACTTGCATTACAATGTGTTACATTTACAATACATTGCATTGCATTTTGTTACATTGTAGCACATTGCATTACATTCCATTGCAGTACAGCACGCTACCGTGTATTACAATACATTACAGCACGTCACATTACATGACATTGGTTGCCTGACAGTACATTACATTACATTGCATTACGTCACAGTACACCAGTGTACACTAAACTACTGCACAGTAGACTGCACGACATTACATGTCGTCACATTTAAATTCATTACAGTAGATTTTAACCGCATTGAACTATATGTTATTACATCACACATTTTGCATACATTAATTACATTACCTACTTACATGTATTGCAACCATACATTCCGCACAATACATACATGCATCACATACAATCATACGTTCACGATTCATACGCGCACATGTGCATGCACCTATCCATGAATCCAGCCAGCCAGCCAGTCATCCATCCATCCATCCATCCATCCATCCATCTATCCATGCATGCCTGCATCATGCATGAATGCATGCATGCAGACAAACACAGGCACGCATACATACACACAGGCATACGCACATTGCCTTACATTACATCGCTTCACCTTTACATGTTCCTTTTACATGTACATGTACATGTGTGTTTACATGGTTACATTATGTTTACATGAGTGTTGAGTGTTTACGTGTGTGTGTGTTTATATTTTCATTTACATTACATACATTGCATTACTTACATACAGACATACACACATAACATAACATGACATAACATACCAAAACATAACATAACATACCATAGCATTGCACTGCTTTGCATTACATACATAAATACATACATACATACATAGATACATACATACATAGATACATACATACAAACAAACATACATACATACATACATGCGTACATATATATATATATATGTACACCGACATACTAGATTGCACACACATGTATGTGCAATGCATTGTGTGTACACACCTATCATATACCTGCCTTTGTGTTGGAGGTGTTTGCTAATCGTCCCTCGTTCGTACGACCGCCACCGCAGGTTCCTGAAGAAGCTGACCTCCAACGAGGTGAAGGCTGAATCGGATGAACGGGGATGCTTTTTAGCAAAATGGTTTTGCTACTAGAGCAACCATTTGCTTGAGAATATATTTGTTTCTGCCTTGCTGGTTTTAAAGGGAAGCTATCACTACGGGCTTCTTTTTTTCCAGGGGGTTTAAGCAACTGGAAGAGAGTCATATTCTGATCAATGTTGACCTCAGATAATCAACCCCAGTTTATTAAAAGGGGGTGTCCCTGGGTTTCGTGAGGAATCATCACTTTTGGAGGGGAACACTCCCATATTTGATAAACTGGGGTTGATGAATATGGGGTCAACATTAAGGGGACCCATAGAAACCTGGATATTCGTGAGAAATTCAGGCGACCAAGCTTCATCCTCTGGCTTTTGCTATGGCTTGGGGGAAATTCCTTGGCTGATACTGTGGATGAATAAAATCCATTTCGCGTCTGAGTGGTTCCCAAGGGAGTTGTTCGGCAACAGCACCACTGACGAATACACCGTTGCCAGTGCGGCCTCATGTCTTATTTTGCTTGCTTTGAACGTCATAACGGTTGGACTGCCACGGCGTGGCGTCAGTTTGGGCAAACATTTGTCAAGCAGACTCTGGCGGTTGAGTTGGAAGACAAGGCCGGTCGAACCAATGTCATTTGAACATAGTAGACTCACTGCCCAAGTTCTTGCACGGAACTCACTTTTTGCGAAGACTATTCTAGGTCCCCCAGTAGTGCCCTTGTTATCTTGTACCCTTTTTTGCGGGAGGGTTCCTACTAAAATAGACTACAGAGAAAAGGGTACCCTTATTCTAACCTCTCTACTGGATGACCTAGTATTTTAGTGACACACCAATTTGACTTGTTGAGGAAACCACTCGCTCGGATTTGGTCGGAGTTGGCCCAACCTGGTTTCCACAAACCTCCGATTTCATGCAGGTGGTGCAAGGTGATGTTTAAACGGCCAAACAGAAAAAATAGGGACCCCGACACCCACCATCTGGGTTTGTCTCTAGTCGTGGTACCCCCTAAAGTGCCTGGCTTCGCTTAGTTACCAGAAACCTGCACAGGGTGCCTGGCACACCATTTTCCTTTTCAGGGGACCCCTGTGTATATTGGTGTTTGGGAGGCAAACCCTTTTACACATTGGAGGATACCAACTCAGAGGCGTATCTGATGATGCGTGTTTCCTAAAAGTTCGTGGATAGCATGGTTTGAAGGAAAACAAACTGTAAACTACTGGTAAAACAGGTAAAACCAACCAATTGGCTTAGGGATCCCCGCGTATCTGGATACAATCAGCCGACTTATTGATAGATGCCTGGAGTCTCCATGTCCCTTTAAAAATCTGTCAATGACCCCATTATTTTTGTCACTGACCAACCCTTTTTTCAGGGTCAGAAGGAGACTCCAGGTGAATATATCAACCATTTTTTAAGGGTCATGGAGACTCCAGGTAGATTAATATTTAAGACATGAAACAACAAAAACTCGATCCATACCAACGCCCGGGGGAGGTTTTCCGCTTCGCTTCGGCCCAAAAATCCGATCCGATCCGATCGATCGCAGAACCTCTTCGATGAGTTGGGCCCACGCTCCAAGAGATCCATTCTGCGGGGACCTGAGCGACCCAGAGCAAAACCGAGGATCTTTGGTCATATCAAGACGAAGAGGTTCAAAGTGATCTCTCTCATCCAACCAATATGAGGAGAAGAACAAATGACTAACCATGGAGTTTTTGATGACCCTCAAACAAAATGGAGTTATTACCCAAAATAGTGAGGTCATTGATCATTGACCCATTTTTTGTGGGTGGAGACTCTAGGTGGAGATCTCAACGTAGCCCATCTTCCCTTTGAGGACTCGAAAAATGAAGTTGGGGGATCATCCCCTCTCCCTGCTTGAGAGACGCAGATTCAGCAAGCCCTTTGGTTTCCTCATCTAAGTTTGAGCAGCGCCGAAAAACCTCCTCTTCTGGACTTAACCTCCCTACCGGGCCCTTGGAAACGGCTGGAGATCTCCATGTAGGTTTCAAGTAGGATCTTGGCCGATTGGGTGGTTCCCTGAAGAAAAAGTCGTTCTTTTTTGCCCTTTTGTCCCAGGTCCAGGTACCCCATACGGTCTTGGGCGTTCAAGCTTCGTTGTATGAACAGATTCCTAGCCGGACTTCTTGTGGTCTCCTCGGCGTGAGCAGTGCCGCTTTGTTTCCCGGGCGGGTTTGAACCGCCCGAACTTTGGCCCGGCTAGGTTTTATACTCAGTTGTTCAGTGGCACCCTTTTTCCTTTCTTTTGGTGGCCCCACTAAAAATGGTCCAAGCCCCAAAAAGGGTTCCCTTTTTTTCCGGGGTGAGTTTACTGTCCGCGTAACATTGCTCCGCAAGCCCATGTCACCCACCAAAAGAAAAAGCCGCCCAGGGTCAGGGGCGCTCAATTCTCCTCTTGTTGGACCCGACTTTGGGAGGAAAATCCCAGTGACCTCTGGGGGTGAAGCAGGGGTTCTCCGCGGTTGAACCAGGTCTTTGGAAGGTTCGCTTAGTTCGTGAGTTCCGTGAAACACACCTAGGTCCTGCAGTAGTGCCCTTTTTCCCTTTGTTGGGGGAGGGTCCCCCTACTAAAATAGACTACAGAAAAAGGGTACCCTTATTCAAACCTCTCTACTGGAGGACCTGGACACTTTAGTCACGTTTCGGGGCTGGATGATGTTGGTGGTAGACAAAGCCAGTGCTTCCAATCAAGGACTTGCCGTGGTTACCTATTTCGGTGGTGAACAAAAGTGGCAACGCACAAAGATTGAACAAACGTGACAACCTCTTGCCATGGAGTGAGGTCATTACCCAAAATAATGGTTGGTCATTGACTAATTTTTGTTTCGGGTCAGAAGGAGACTGGTACATGGCAACACACAAAGATTGAACAAAAGAGATAACCCCATGGATTGAACAACAACCGTTTACAATTCTAGGGGTTGATTTGTTTTTCAACCATCGCTCTTTTCAATATCCGGATCTGTTTCCTCTGGTTTTGATGGTTTCCTGAAAAGATTCGGATGCCTGGAAAGAATGGAATTGGAAGGTACCCCTAGAACAATATTCTTTGCCTTCCCCACTCGATCGGGTTGTGAGCGCCGGTCAGCCGTTGAGCCCAGGACGGACATCTTCGATTACCAAGATCCCAAAGACTTGGAGCTTTGCGCCGAGATGATCTTCGTGGAGCGGGGGGCGAGCGAGTCACCAGGGAGAAAAACACAGCGGACACCGAGGGGAAACGTAGGAAAACACGGGGACACCTAGGGAAACGCAGGAAGACACGGGGGAAACCTACGGAAATGTAGGGACACATTGGGAATGTGAAGCAAAGGGCAGGTTAGAAATATATGTGTTTGGATGTCTTTTGAAGCTGGTATGCGGTTTGGAGTTGGTTCAAATGCAAACCCACAATACTCTAGTTTGACACATACCCATTTCATAACTTGGTGCAAGCACAGCAGCTTCCCTCACATTCCCTGTATGGCTCGGTTGGATCTTTGGACTTAACTTTTTGCTTGAATCTTTGGATTTCCCATTGCACCCAGAAAAAAAGGGAGAACTGTTGTGAGGGGTCAAGAGCAACCAAGTTGCAACGTACAATGCTACTAGGATCGGTTTTTGATGGGCTCCTCTCGGTTTTGCATCATGACGGATTCGACTATTCATATTACTTTGCTCATGTTTGTTTGAGGGCACCATGTTTGAAGGGGATGTGCCAACAAGATAACCCGCGTCCATATGCGCAGCGTTATGTTTTTGACTGCGTGCTTCCGGTGCAAGCATCACCATACATCACCGTTTTGGACCAATTCAATTGGCTCCAACCAGTGTTTTACTGCTGAAGAGAATGTGTTAAAAATGCAGCCGGTTATCTATATGGTAGGTAACCCTTCGCTATTATCCTTTTGGTTTTTATATCGGGTAAATGGTTCCACTGGGCCCAGTTGTATAACCTGGGGAAACCATGATGTAAAGCCTACAGGCAGAAATACCGAAGGGTTACCTTTTCTAGTGGCGAAACGCCTTTAAAGCCAGGAATCCTGTCGGTCTCCCAATTTGAAGCCGCCACTATGGCAGAATGTAAATGGATCCACTGGAAGGATTTGAGACTGAGAACTGACACGAGACCAGCAGGCTTGCAAAGTTTGGTCTGGGTCTGCGCGAAGGTATTGTTTTTGGAGCAAGCTCCAAATACCCGACCTTTGTTGCGATGGCATGTTTTTTGTTTTTGTTTTTTTTGTTTTAAAGAAAACCGATCGGCTACTCCAGGGAACACAAAGCTCCTTGTCGGCCTCCTTTTTATAGCTAGAAGTCGAAACACTTGGCTTTCCAGGGAACAAAGCTCCTTTTTTAGCAAGGGGTCAACATCATACCAACTACACGAAGCCCGGGTAGCGGGGGTATGAGCCACAATCAAAACCCGGGTAGAGGAAGGTTAGTAAGGCACAATCCCAACCATAAATAGCTGCGGCCGCCTTCTTAATTCTTGACATGGTTCTGGGTAGGCCATTTTGATACCGGGTTTTGATTATGACTCGTATGCTCACATCATGTACTTCCCGAATTCCCGTGAGAATCGAAATTGTCATGCACGCACAGTGGCACGCACGGAAATGCAGGTCATGAGGTCTGTTTCCCCGAATGCATAAGTGGAACCACAAGGGATGGCAAAGCAGCCCGCAGGCTTGGGTTGGGACGTTGGTGCCGAAATCGGGCGCAACAAAATTGCCGAGATCGGATTCGATTTGGGTGGCTCGTTTCTTGTTGAGGTTGGGCCCCGCAAAATGGCCGCAACGGTTTTCCTTTTGGTTTTCCCTTTCAAGCCGCCACCAAACAAACGGGTCCCCGCAACGACGAGCCGCCCATGTGGAGCGTGTTATTCCGCCCGGCATTTGGCTCACAGTTCGGTCCCTGGGAGGACCCTGTTGCGATGAAAATAACTGAGACACTTCCGCATGCCGTAGTCACCAAGGTTCAGAGTGCAGCAGCGAATCGACCGGGTCTGATCTTTTTGTTTATTTCCCCCCTTTTTAGGTTCCCATTTCTTCTTGTCATTAAAGGTGATCAGCTTTGTGTTTGGATCCCTAGAGGGCAACTGAGCAGAAGGGGACAAACACCTGTTTTTGTAGAGCCCCAACAAATACCCAAGCGATAAATCTAACCTGCCCCCCCATCTCCTGTTTCGCTGGAGATCTTGCGACACGTCCACAAGGCAATACATAAGCTGTTTGAACCACCCGGGGGGCTGGAGCATTTTCGCGGCGCAAGCGAAAGCTGCAGATCAAAGTTCAAAGTGTCGTCGAATTCTTCGCTGCTATGGCCGACTTGAAGGGCTTGGAGCTGCCTGCTCTTCTGCAAAGTCAACATGCGGAGCTTCTGAAAAGGCGGGAGGATTTATTGTTTTTACCGGGTCACGTAAGCTCCAAATGCCCGGCCTTTGTTTAGTTGTTTAGTTATGTGTTTTTTTCGTTGGTTTTTCTTTCTTTCTTTTCCGGAAAGCGTGGTTTTCCCTTTAGTTTCCATGGCCATCAGACTTTACAGGGACGATCACCCCAGCTACCACTCACCATGGTGGACCCATGACTCATAGGAGTTCTTTCGAAAACAAAGTCGATGGCACTGCTTGATTCGAACCAAACTGAAGCCACGACCATCTAATTTCAACCAACCCTGACACCAGGCTCGATGGGCAAAGCAAATGATTGCTCAACCGATTCGTGCCAGAAATGGTTGCGGATATCCGCCGTCTTAATCCTTGAAGCATGGGTCTGGGTACCTGGAGTCTCCATGACCCTTAAAAAATGGTGTCATTACCCAAAATAACGGGGTCATGGAAAGGGTCATGGAGAGTCTAGGTAGATTGTTTTGAGTATGACTCAAATTGGTTGCTGTTGTCCAATCAAAGTTGCGCTACAAGGAACTTCTGGAGCCACTGCTCAAGATTGAGAGCAGGTGCGAACCAGAAGTAAACTCATGAACGTGGAACGTGTCCAATCCGATTCCGCCGATTCGGGGGATCCAACTCTTACTGGCATTAGTGCGGAGTTTGCAGATTTCAGGATACTGCCATGAACCCCGCCTCGAGAACCGGCAAACAACCTCAACATGCACTTCCATTTGCTCAATAATATTTTGTATTTTCCCCTTTTGGTTTTAAAAGTAAACGATCACTACTGGAACTATTTTTTGAGCAAATGGAGGTGAAGCTTCCCTTTGGAGCCTATCTTGCGACTAGTTGGTGTTGCCAAGGGCGAACGTCTTTATGGTACGACTGCCCAGCTGTCCAACATGTGAAACACGTGGCATTGCACGGTTCTGATTGCGAGGCGTGTGCTCGTGCGTGCTTGCGTGCCTGCGTGCGAGGGTGCGCGGGAGCGTGGGTGTGTGGGTGCGTGCGTGCGTGCGTGCGTGCGTGCGTGCGTGCGTGCGTGTGTGTGTGTGTGTGTGTGTGTGTGTGTGTGTGTGTGTGTGTGTGTGTGTGTGTGTGTGTGTGTGTGTGTGTGTGTGTGTGTGTGTGTGTGTGTGTGTGTGTGTGTGTGTGTGTGTGTGTGTGTGTGTGTGTGTGTGTGTGTGTGTGTGTGTGTGTGTGTGTGTGTGTGTGTGTGTGTGTGTGTGTGTGTGTGTGTGTGTGTCTGTGTGCGCGCACTGCACTGCGTTGCGTTGCGTTGCGCGGCGCGGCGTGGCGTGGCGTGGCGTGGCGTGGCGTTGCGTGGTTGGTTGTTTTGTTGGTTGTTTGCCTTGCTTGTTTGCTTGCTTAGTGCTTGCGTGTTTTTGTTTGTTTGTTGGTTTGTGTGGTTTGTTTGGTTTGTTTGGTTCGTTTGTTTTTGTTGTTTGTTTGTTTGTCTGTTTGTCTGTTTGTTTGTTTGTTTGTTTGCTTGTTTGCTTGCTTGTTTGCTTTGGGAACGTCTTGTTTGGACAGACCCTTCTTGCGTTGGTTAGCGTCTGGAACTCGCAACGCTTGAGACATGGTCTTTGCCCAGGTCAGGAGATGCGCAAAGATCAGTTTTGTTACTGTTACTAGGTGTCAACAGGGATGGTCATCCACCTGGCATCTAGGATCCTTAATACCATCATGTTGGTTCCTATAAAGGGAACTATGACCATGGGCCATATCAGGAATCCAAATCCTATTTTAAGACACGCCCAGATGTTGTCTTTATGGCAATTTTGTTGGATCTTTGGACTTTAATTTTTACACTTTCTCGGTTTTCCGTATTGGACCCACACAAAGTGAATAGGTTTTGCAGAGGGTGGTTTCTGAACCACGTCAAGTGGTGGTTTGGATCTGTGGTTTGGGGATTTGGAGTTCAAACAAGTGGAGGGGGGCGGATGACGGTTGCGGAGCTCCCTACAAAGCCGGGAGGGATGGTGCCTTAGGCAGGGCCCTGCATCTTGTTTGTGAGCAGAGGCTTGTTTTTTTTTCTTTCTCTCTCTCTCTCTCTCTCTCTGTCTCTCTCTGGATTTGAACTCCTTGTTGGTGAGGGTCAACGGGCTTTCCCACCGGAAGACCTGCAAACCCATCCAAACCACCAGGTAAAATGAAGCTGACACAAAGCAAACCAGTTGCATGTTTCAGTTGGTCACTCGCTCTGTCTATGAACCACCAAGTTGTTTTCGAGGGTTTGGAGGTGAGGGACATGAGAGGGCCGCCCACTGCTCTCGAAGGTTTTTGGACAGGACAGGTTTGGTTCCCCTCCCCTCCCCTCCCCTCCCCTCCCCTCACCCCCTCCCCCCTCCCCTCCCCCTCCTCCCCCCTCCCATCACCTTCCCTCCCCCTTCCTTCTTCCCTCCCCTCCCCATTCCTCTTCTTCCCTTTGCTCAGAATGCCGGGCGTTCTGTGCTTTCTTCGCCCCCCCCCCCCTCGCGCGAGGTTCGAAGTACAAGATGACCTCCTCCGGCAGTTGCTGGCCTGGCGACCGGATTTCGCAGGCCGAAGCGTGCGTTCTCTGCGTGGCGTCTTTCTTTAACAACTAGGTCCATGCCCTCTTTTGACCATGCCTTAGGCAACTGGTTCCAGTCACCACTATAGCGGGTAAGTCTTCGGTATAAACCGCTACCAGGGTTTACATCATGAGGCACCCCTGGTTACCTATTATAGTCTAGGTCCTCCCAGCCGCCAGCTGCCAACTTTCTCACCTGTTCTTTTTGGTTGGGAGGGTTCAACCCTACCAAGATAGACGTCCTGAAAAAAGTGGGTATCCTTATTCTAACCTCTCAAATCTGGAGGACCTGGACAAGCATGGGTCTCTATATCGCCGTGCTGTTCATCTTGTTTTTTAGTTCAATTAAGGCTTTTTGGATCAGTGTTTCGAGGATCAGGTTTTCTGTATCAGGTTTTCTGAATCTGATTTTTGGGGCTCGGTGCGTTTTTCGGATCACTCTTTTTGGCTTCGCGGGGGCCATTTGTTTTGAAGCGACACACCGCGGATTGCCATAAGTTTCCCCCCACTGGGCTGGGGCTTGAAGCCTTGGACCATGGGCTTCACTTAGGGCTGCTGGAAGCTGAGCCTTGCCAAAGCCACGATGACTTCCCAGGCCTAGCTCCCTGATGAATTGATTCAGAATGGCCCCGGAGTATGAAAGCCCTGGTTGATTAATACGGGCTTCCCGTTTTCAACAAGTGGCACTTTAAAACTGGATTATTAGTCGGGCCACTTCCATGATTGTTGGAAGGGCTTAGCTCCGCGTTTTTTGACGACCCGCTACTTCAAGATGTTGTGTTAGGCGCTTTTTGTTGAACACCTAGTTTCCCAGGGTATACACCTCCTTTTTTAGTACAGGGTCAACATGCTTATGGCTATTTGGTTGGATCTTTGGACCTGAACTTTTTGGGAAGCATGTCGGATGTGCAATGGGGAGCCGCAAAAAGTTAAACTTTTTTGCCGAGGGGACAACAGCAGCAAGACATGCCATTGAACAAAGGTGTTGGGTGTAGGGGGTAGGTCTTGCGAATTCATCAGATGTTTTTGGTGGCTTGCAACCCCGAAGGAACCCTTCCCCGTGTGCCATGGTCTAAAGACCAGGTTGGCTTTATCCAAAGCTGGGGGGGACGGTGCAACCACCGGGCACCATTCTCCCTCTTGCAATTTTCAGTGCTTCTAGCTACCACTATAGTAGGTAACCCTTGCGTAGTATTGTTTGTGGATGTCTGTGGTTTTTACCATGGATGGTTTCCCCTGCTTGCCTAGTATAGTGGCGCAACGCCGGAAAGCACTGGGTTTGGTTCTTCCAGAAAGGAACACCAAGAAAGAGCACCAAAGGACACCTGCGCATCCCCAGCTGTTTCCTTCACGTTTGGTACTACTAGGTCCCCCAGCAGTGCTCTTTTACCCTTTCTTGGTTGGGAGGGTTCCCCTACAAAAACAGACTACAGAACAAACAAAGTTGGCACCAACGTATTCTAACCTCTCTACTCGAGGACCTAGACAATGATGGTACCCAGTGTGGCGTTTCGCCACAGTAGGTAAGCTTCCTTTCCCCTAGATGTTTCATCATGGTTTCCCCCTGCACTATAGTTACTCTCACTTCCTGAGTTCATGAACTTTAAACTTTTTGGTAAGACCATTTTAGTGGCAAATATAAAGCTTGGACTTTTTTTGGGCCATCCACTCAGCCAGTGAGTAGTGGTATCTGGAAGCACTGGGGTAGACAAGATTTGAATTCTAATGCGCACCACACGTTACCTGCGGCCAGGTAACCTGAACGGCGACCTCTCTCACTCCCTCGAGTTGCGGCCGAAGCGCCTGTCCGCGGCGACTTGCCAAGCGAACGGCGTCCCATTTGTTTAATGAATATGTGTTGCGCAACACCGAATACCCCTTTTGTTTGGGGCATTTGTTTTTGGAAACTTCTTTTTTTAGGGTAAATACCTTCTTTTTGTAAAGGGTGGATGCCATACCCTAAAAGAACGCGGATTTTGGATATCGGTTTGAAAGGGAATCTATCACTGGACATATGTGTTCTTTTTCCAGGCTCATTCCAGTGGAGGATTAAAATGCCCAGATTCCGGGAAAGTGGTGATGTTAGTTCCCATGTTCTGCGATACCTTGGGAGAAACCCTTTGGACAGCGACAAAGTAGCCATGCAAACGGGTGCTTTGTGGCTATTTGGTTGGATCTTTCCACTTTAAGATTTTGATCGGATTCTCCAGTGGACCCACAAGAAGTTGACTTTTTGCAGAGGCAGTCAAGAACAACCAACCGCAAATCCCGCTTTGGTATCACAGAATCTTCGATTTTCCACATGCGCGCGGGTGAAAGACGCTGTTTAGGTTGTTGGTTCGGTCGCATGGTACGGGAGAAAACGAGCGGCTGGGAGCTTTGTGGGAGCAGCACCCTCTTAAGGGAGTTGGGTGGATTTTCAGGTACGAGGTTTGCAGGTATGGAGGTTTTACACCACCAATATTGGTGGCAGTAGATACCCCTCAACAAGTGGCATACCTCCATCACCCGTACCTGAAAATGCTCTAATGTTAGTACCAAACACAAAGTTTGCTTAGTTATTTTAACCCACCCATTTGTTCAGAAGTGAGTTTGCTAAGGTTCCGCTTCCAAGTTGTTGTTCGTTGCAGTTCCAGGACAGTTGGGATGCTTTCTCTTGGAATTTAACAGGCGTTTCAAGTAGCCACGATACCCCGTACTCCAAAAAAGACATCTTTGTTTCGGGTATTTGTTGGCAACCCTTGGTTTTTCAGAATAACTGCCTCCTGTTTGGTGGATCGACCTCATACCCCAAGCCAAAAGCAACTTCTTGGTGGTGACCCGTACATTTCCTTTAGCAACGACAGAGTCTGGTTTGGGTTGCCTTAACCATCCCATCTAGTTCTTCAGGCCTCGTTGGCGAGATGGCCCTCTGGTGTTCATGTCCGTTTCACCCCATGGAGTTCTGCACTGGAGAACGAACCCAGCTAGAAAGTCTAGGTCTCCCAGCAATTGGTGCCAGACCTCTCACCGTTCCTTTTTTTGGTTGGGAGATTCGGTTCCCCTACTAAAAGAGACTACAGAAACAAGTTGCTACCAACTTCTTCTAGCCTCTCAAATCGGGAAAGCCTAGCTTTCGCCCGGGTGAAATGTGGGGAATCGCTTTCGGAGGGGCCAAACCCACCTATCAAGCAGGTTGGTTGATCCAAAGATCATTCGTGTCCGGTTCCAGCAGTTTGGACAAGAAACATCTTGGCCATCCCAGTGCTCCCAGGCAAGCCGAATAAAAACCTAAAAGGTATAGGAAAGCCGAAGGGATAGCTATCGTCCGGTTCCTGAGGCTTGAACAAGGAATTTTAGTTAGTTTATGTGGTTGGGGAACCCATTCAACCCACTCAAAGTTGTTCAAACTTTTAGCAGGGGATCAGAGCAAGTAGGTTATAGCCATGGTTGTAAGTGAGGTAACTGTGAAAAGTCCCGTATAACCATGGTTGTACCCTACTTAGTAGCTTGGTCGAACATCCAAATCGGCATGTTGATATAATATATACCTGGAGTCTCCATGACCCTTTAAAAATGGGTCAATGACTCATTATTTTAGGTAATGACCAATTTTTTAAGGGCCAGAAGGAGACTCTAGGTGTATATATATATATATATGTATATATATATATATATAGACGAGCGAGCAGCGCCAGTTGAGCAGCATGAACGGCCACGACTCGCCACCGCCGGACCGGGCCGTGAACGGCAAAGTCGCGAAAGCCGGCGACGACGGGGAAGCGGAAGCCGAGGCAAAAGGAGAGCCATTGAGGACGGGAGCTCTGGGCACCTCGTAGAGAGATTTTCATGGACCAACACTTTTTCAGTTCGCTCCCGAAACTCAGAGATACACCCACTGATCCCACCATTTTTCGACACAATGGCATTTGGTCGTCCGAAAAGAACTGCCGCTGGACCACTCACTTACCTCGAGAATGGAAGCCTAGGTCGAAGAGTAGTCCTTGCAAAGCACCCAACATCTTGGGGCCTTGCTGAGACCGATCCCTTCTTTCTGCCCTTTGGGGACCCGCAAAGGCAGAAGACAGGGGTCCATTAGAAGTGGTCCACGTTTTTGTGCCGGCTGAGAGGGTCTGCAAAAGGCTCGGCATGTCGCCAACCCTTATGGCTGAGCGTTAGTACTCGGATCGGGTTTCCCGAAAAAGCGCAAAATCAGGGACGAACTCCAAAAAAGACACGGCCTCCTAGTTCCTTGGCTGCTGTGGAAAAAAGCTACAAGGCCCCTTTTCTTGCTCGTTTGGTTTGATTTACAGGGCTTAGGTAACCAAGGAAACCACCGTATATAAGCGCAAAAAGGAAAATAGCTGGTTGGGATACTATGGGCGAAACGCCCATCCACTGGCCAAAAAACACTCAAATTGTTTGTTTCCCACTAAAATGGTTTCCCAAACAGGTTGAAGTCCACGAACTTAGGGAGTGGAGCCCATGAACCAGAATTTGCCACAATACCCCGTACTCCAAATACCCTCTGTTTGAGTTTTATATGTTATGGAAACCCTGCCTTTCCCATGGTTTAAATACAATTGTGTTCCTTTTCCCTAGCAAAGAGTTGGCATCAGAGCCACTGAGAAAGGGCTGGGTGGTTCGGATCCTAGTCACCTTTCAAGTGAAGGGCCCTCTCGGCAGTTTTTTTTTTTGGCCACCTGTGGAAAAAATCGGATCCTGGTCACCTTTCAAGCCAGGGAAGGGCCCTCGCGGCAGTTGGTTTTTTTTTGCCACCTGTGGAAAAATGATGGACCCCCTTGTCACGAAAGCCAGCCTCCTTTGGAGGCTTAGGCTGAGTTCAGTTTAGGCGAACGAAGTGAGTAAGAGGGCGGTGCGGGCGGGGAGGACGTTTTTGGGCCGTTTTTGGGCCATACTAGAGGGGATTTGCCGCGTCCAATTTGAGCATTTTTTGGGCACCTGGAGGGGGCTGGATGGAGTGGGCTGGGGATGCTGGGGATGTTGGAGATGCTGGGGATGCTGGGTCCTGGGTTGGGCCGTGCCTTCGTCCTTCGCGAAGGCAGAAGCAGACAAACCCTCGATTTTTCAGCCTTGCAAGGTGTTGGCACCGCCAAGCGCAAGGATTCTTCTGCGCACAGAATTTAGCAGCGGCCGGGCCAAACCATTTTTTGCAAAAAGTGGCCTCCAGGCTATCTTATTAAGGCCAGCTCCAATAGCTAGCCTTTGCCAAGAGAAGCAACCAAACCCTCGGCTTTTTGGCCTCGCGGCTACTGTCAAGGATTTCCCGCGTCCAATTTCAGCACTTTTTGGGGCGGGGATGTCAAGAATGCCGGCCGCTGAAGTGAAAGTGCCCAGCATCCCCAGCCCGCTCCAAAGGCACGTTAAGAACTCTTAAGGGTGCTATTCAAGTTCAGCACAGCCTGCTCACCTTTCCAGGCTGCCCTGGGCATCCTTGTTGTTCTGCAAACTACTCAGTCTTCAGAGGCTCTTTTTGGGCCGTGCTTCGGCATACAAAGGGGGATTTCCCGCGTCCAATTTCAGCACTTTTTGGGGCGGGGATGTCACAGCATCCCCAGCCCAAAGGCACGTTAAGCACTCTTAACGGTGCTATTCAAGTTCAGCATAGCCTGGTCACCTTTCCAGGTGGCCCTGGGCAGGGGTTGAGCTTCTTGGATGGAGTGGCCTGCGGATGCTGGGGATGTCAGGCTCCGGGTCCTGCATTCTCGACGCTTCCCTTTCGAGGGGGTTGGTGCTGCTGGGACGCAAAGGGCGATTTCCCGCGCTGAAGGGCACTTGCACGGGGAACAAGCTGGCTTTCGTGCGCTTCCTTCTCAGGTAGTGAAGGATTCCTCAAGGTCGCCAATTTCCGCACAAAAGGTGGCAGAAAGACCCCCCCTTCTCGGCCAAACGGGGTGTGGAAAAACAGGTCCACCGACTTTCCCCATCGAATTATCTTGGGAAGTGAGTGGTTCAACGGGGTGTGGACTGGACTTGGGGGGGGTTGTTTGTTTTGGTTTCTGTCGTCCGGTTGGTGAAGCGATCGTACTTCGCCCAGACGGATCCCTGCGGAAACCAACACGTTGCAATTAAATGGGTGATCTTCACCCCGAAGAAAACACGTCATGGCCGGGGCTATGGGGAGGTGGGGTTATCCCATATCAACCCTCAATACGGTCAAAGCATCGGTCGCTTCGGCACAAACAGCTTAGATTGTTCAGGGCTCCTTAAAAGATACATTTTACCCGATTTGAAACACGTTGCTTCTTCAACACCAAGACAAAGTTGGACACCGCCATTTACAAGTTGCAATGTTCGGGTGTTTCTCATGCATCCGGATCCCTGTGGTTTTTGTTGGTCTTCGTTCTCTATGGTTGGTAAGCCTGGTTATCGGCTGACTTCCCGAGTTCCGTTTCGGACTTGAGTCGTCACTTTTTGGGACCGTTTTAGTCCAGGTCCCCCTTTTTGGGAGGACCATGTTAGTGGTGAACCAACACTTACCTTGGTTTTGTTCAACCCCCTCAATGAGTCAGCTGGGGACTTGCATCTGACACACTAAGGAAGTGAGTAGGGGATTTGCATCTTAGAACATCTCAAAGCTATGTTCCTTTTGTTTTTTTCTATCGGGTGGCAAGCCCTTAATTGGCTACCTTCAAAACATTGGGTAAATGCATCCACATGGAACCCCTAGAAGCCCGAACGACAAGCCATCGCCTATATCAGTTGCCACTGATCCCGCTGTTCGTTGTTGGTGCCCTAACAACCATCGATCAAAGAACATCTTACAACCATCCGGGTACCCTGGTCGCTTTGGTGTACCTGGAGTCTCCATGACCCTTAAAACATGGGGTCATTACCCAAAATAATGGGGTCATTGGCAATTTGTTCAAGGGGTCATGGAGACTCCAGGTACCTGAGCATGTCGCTGGCAACCAAAGCCGAATCGACCGGATCTGACCTTTTTATTCCCGCCCCCGTTTTGTCCATGTTCAGTCATGGCCCCGATAAGTCTTTTTTCCTTCCCAGTGCTTCCAGGCGTTCGCCGCTATACCTCTAGGTGTTACCATAGATGGTTTCTCCTGGTTGCCTCCTACAGTGGCGAAGAGCCTGGAATCACTGGGCATGGAAAGTGGGTCACAGCCAGGGTTAACATGGGTTGACCACTTAGCAAACTCTTACAGCAACTCACTTCCTGAGTTCATGGACTTTAGACACCTCGTGGAAAGTCCATTTTAGTGGTAAATAGCAAGTGCCAGTTTCAGGAAGTGAGAATGCTGATTTCCCTCCAAAATTTGTCTGATGCCCCACATGTCCAGGAAAAGCGCCCTATGAATAAACTGGTTGGTTGATTTTTCATGGGGTCGACCACCTGGCTACCTCCCAAAGAACTAGTTCCAGGACGTTTTTTGGCCAAACTCCTTCCATTTAATTAAGAATATGTTTTATTTCCCCCCTGTTGGTTTTAAAGGGACTCTATCACTGGAAATTGTCATTATGTTTTCCTGGGGTCAAAAAACCAAATGGAAGACTCGCTCGGACGTTAAGACCTTCTTTGGGCTACCTCGGACGAAACATCGACCCAGGAGCTCCTCCATGCAGGGCATGCCGGCCAGGCTGAGGAGCCAGATGTCGGCCAAGAAGCCTCAGGACGCCCCTTTGGGCGCCCAAACGTTTGGGCGAGCTTCAGAGAGCTTTTCCTCCCATCCGCGTCTCCATGAGGTCTCCATGCCTGCCCTTACAGGGGTACATCAGGGGTCCCTTAGGGGCCCCATGGCTTCCATTCGTTGAACCTTCAAAAGTTGGGATTTGTTCAACTAGGTCCCCCCACTAGGTGCCCGACCTCTCACCGTTTTTCTGTTTTGGCTGGGAGGGTTCAACCCTACAAAAGCTACAGAAAGAAGTTGGTACTGTTATTCTGACCTCTCTACTGGAGGACCTATTAGATGTTGTTCCCCGGGTGAAATGTGGGAAATCGATTTCGGAGGGGTTAAAACGACCTATTGCCAGGCAGGTTGGTTGATCCAAAGATGTCCCATTAGCATCTTGGACCCTCAGAAAACCTATGGAGCAAACCCATGTTGGGATATGGAACGGGGATAGAGCACCCAGTACCAATTTGAAGGGAGTGTACCAGTTTTTCCTTTTGACCCTTAACAAGTGTTGGTCACTATCTAAAATATTTCGGGGTGACGGCCAACAATTTTGGCAGACTCCAGGCAGCATTCTTGCCATCCGCCGAAGTAGTACCCCCCAAATACCTCTGTTTTAGTAAGGGATTGACGTGATACCCTAAACAAAAGCGGGTACTTGGAGTAGGGGGTAGGTGAAAGGGAAACAACCGAATCCATTTTCTCACTCTACCTCCTCTGCCACTGCCGCGCATGCGCGTTCAGCAGGCCAGACTTACCACTTTTAGTGCTTAGCTGCTTGGGCATGAAATCTTTATATATCCCCCAGCATCTATCCAACATGTGCGTTCCGGCCATCAGTGGTTCTTTGGCCTGCGCCTGTTTGATGCGCGACACGCCAGAGCAAACCAATAGAATCTCAGAAGCACTTTCCTGCGCTTGTGTCAAAAGAAAGAGGACGTGCCAAGCCTACACAAGCACCGACGTGCAGCAAGCGCGCACCTGCTGCGCGGCTTGCGGTGAACGCGACCTGCCACTGGCGGGAAACATGACTCGAAGTCAAGTGCGTACGGGCTCTCTTAGCCCCCCACCCCACCCCCTCCTCGAACACAAACGCGTGGCGAGAAGCGCGAACCTGCTGCGCGCGAACCTGCTGCGCGCGGCTTGCGGCAAGCGCGACGTGCAGGCTCGAGGCCAAGCGTGCTACGAACACTCTTACTCCCCCCCCACCCACCCCCCCACCCACCCCCCCCCCCCCCACCCACACAGGTTGTTGTGCAGCGGCGCCACGCAAGTTAGTTCCTGAAGAAATGATAAGCAGAAAATGATGAAGAATTCTTCCGCGTCGTGGACGTCGCCGTGAGCAAAAACTAGGATCTCCTGAACAATGTTCCTCTCTTTGAGGGTTTCTTAGAACCAGCGTTTTTTCCTCCAGGCCCCCCTTGTCTCCCTTGTCCCCCGACTCCCGCGCTCCCCAACTCCCCGCCACTTTCTCCAAAAGAATAGGCACCAACGATTCCAACTTGCCAACTTACTTCAAACCCTTCCCCCCCCCCAACTAATTAGGAGGATCCCACGCACCGATTCCTGTGGCGCATGGTGAAGAATCCCATCTTCGAATCCTTCTTTGCCGTGATCGTGGTGGCCAACGGGATCTTCATCGGTCTGGACACCTCCTATCAGGTGGGCCGAACTCCGAAGCGCGGGGGTTCGAGCGGTGCTGAGGGAAGCCCACGTCAGGTAAGTAGGTTAGAAGCGATGGGAAGGGAAGCAACCCCAGGTACGGCTACCTATAGTTGTAACCTTAATTCTCACTAAGTGAAGTGAACGTCCAAGTTGGGTGGTTCGTCCTTCTTCGAGCTGCTCGGCACTTTGTTCTTTTGTTCTTTCCTTTTTTGTTCTTTTTGGGGGGGGGGGCTGTTCAAGGGGGGATCTCAATGAAAACAATTTTGTTTGGCGTTCCCCGCCCGATGTTTGCGGTGGTTCAAGAGGGAATTCAAAAGGAAACCGATGTCCGTAGAAATCCAGTTTTTTGGCTCAAAGTGTTCCTTTTGGTGTGAGTGTTCCCTTGCCTGTTGAAGACGTCTTTGCACTGGCACGTTAAAAGGGATACATATTTAGACTGATTTGTTTCGAAATCCGGCGACCCGCCCCAGCCAAAAAAGGTCCTCCTCAACAAGTGCAAAATCGAGTCCCAGAAAGGCAATTTTTAGTGGAGGAATGCGGGCCGAACTTGTTTCCAGTTCAAGTTTTGGTTGCCGTTTGGTTCCACTGGAAATGCTAGAACCACTTTGGGTTTGTCTCCAAATCGGGTCATCCCGATTTGTTTGTGGTGTTCCTTTGCTTCCCGTTTGCAAAGACACACGCGAATGGTGGCTCAACTATTTCCGAATGACAGTTGACCAATTCAGAGCAGATGTTATTGTCTCCCTGCATGGTTGTGCTTTCTGTGAAAAAAGGACGGTGGCGTTGGGCACACTCACCAACATACCATTGGGAAACCGGGGTTCTCACTGAGATTCCGTGTCCGTTGGGGATACAATGAAATTTGACCGTGGCTGCGATGGATTTGCCTTCATGTGGTAGTGGATGTGAGTCTGGAGGGAAGCACAAACTTGTCACAGTAATAACAGGGAAGCTGATTTTGGGGAGCAAATGCGCAGGGGTTATCTATTGTTTGTACCACAAAACGGATAGCAATTGAGAAGTGCCCGTACCCTTCCGATTTCTAAAACAGTTGTGTTATTTTCCGCTGTTGGGTTTAAAGCGAATCTATCAGAGAAAAAGCACAAATGGAGGTACCATGGCGGTTGGGCGTACCTTCAAGTCCATGCCCAAAACCGAATCGACAGGATCCGACCTTTTAGTTTTCCCATTTTGGTCCAGTGCTTCCAGAAAGTTAGTAGCATACAATGAGTACCCAGGTATTTTTGTTTGTTTTCCTTTTTTTTCTGCTAGTTTGAAGCCGTGGCTGGCTTCCCCTTATCCTCTTGTGGCGTGCCGAAGCACTGGAAGCACGGGTACCGGGGGGCGGTCCATCACCTGGGTATGGGTCACAATTAAACCATCCGGGGACCGCAGGCTTTAGTCCATGTTTCCATTTACCAGGGTTCCATTTTTGACCCACAGCCACCTGGAAGTCGTGAGGCCCAGAATCCCAACACGCGGCTGCCGTCCTTGCGGATCATCTCCTACGTCTTCGCGGCCTCTTGACGTCAGTTTGGGCTCCGTGGTAAAATATACCTGGACGACCCAAAAGCTACCTATACATGGTTGTTGTGGGGAAACAGTTTGCATATTTGCTTATTGTGGTTTAGTGGTTGAAATCCAATTCCACTTAACTTAACTGCTAAATATATATATATATATATATTTTGTTGCTCTCCGTCCAACGTCAACCAAACATAGAAATGGGTGGTTGTTTCCAATCTTGTATATAAGGGTAGTGCTTCCGGGTACTCCCACCCAAAGGAGCACACCCAAAAGTTTGCCCCGCAGAGTAGCGCGGAACGAATCTTTTCCGGTTGGGGTCCCCTTGAAACCTTCTTTTTGCAGGCGTACCTTTTAAACTTCCCTGAAGCTGCCCCTGATGTGCGCCACGGTCAAAAAACCCGTTGGAGCTAACAGGTCGTCATCCACCTAGTAAGGATGCCTAACCATTAGGTCATGGTTCCTTTTCAGGGAACCGTAACATGCTCTCCTTCAAAGCCCTTCAACCCCCATAGCTATGCGGGGGAGTGTGCAAACCGGGGCGTAACTTCTGACTCGGAAGCCCAAGAAAAGGAGAAAACAGGTTTTGACCGCGGCTCATGAAACCAGTTCTTGCCGAGGCCTTCTTTACCTGCGAACTCTGCCTTCGAATCTGTGCCGAGCGGCGTCTCTTTTTGCAGTCTGAGGACCGTTGTGTCTTTTCGGGCGGTGGGGGGGGGGGCTTTTCTTTATGGCTTTTTTAGCGTTTTTAGGTTCCCAGCCATCCCCTTAGATTGTTTGGTTTTTAGTTGGTTTCGTGGTTGGGACCCGCTACTTTGTGGCTATTTGGTTGCGCATCTTAACCTTTTGGTTGATTCCTGGTCGGATTTTTCATATTGAGCCCACAAAAAGTGAAACTTGTTTCCGGATGCGCAAGGTACCCTTTTTGGGCCGGGTGAAGGGAAATCAACAATTTTGAGGGGTTCCGGGGGGGAGGTTGGGCAATGTGGGTACTAAAGCTATACTTAATTAGAACGGAGCTGTGGCTTAAACTGAGCTACCTCATGATGGGTCCAGAATCGGCAAATGGGTGGTTTCCCCTCGAAATGTTTTTCAAACCACCCCAAAGGAGTACCCTCAGAAAATGCCACCTAGTTTGGGTGTCAGAACAGGGACTTGGCTTCCAAACAGTCTATCTTGCAGATGCTCAGTATGTGGGAAGGAACCCAGGAGTTCCCTTAAAGGAAACCGCCAGTTGGATGATTTCTAGGGCTCATTCCACGTCTCATTCCCTATCGCACGAGGTCAGTTTCCTTCCGTTTTGGGTGTGCTTCATTTCCCCAAGCCAACAGAGGCTTCACTCGCAAGGGCTCAGCCCTCTTTTGACCTTGGGCAACTGGTTCCAGCTACCACTATGGTAGGTACCCTCAGAAATGGCCCCTATAAGAGGAAATTGATCTTTCAGGTACCCTCCCACAGGTGCTATGTTAGTGGGAGGGAGGGTAACCCTTCGGTACAAACCGCTACCAGGTTTCACGTCATGAGGCACCCCTGGTTGCCTATTAAAGCGGCAAGCGCCTGGAAGCACCGGGTTAGCCACTCCTCTTGGTTTCCCCTAGGCAACTGCTTCCCACAAGTTTCGCTGGGGAAACCGCCGAAAGAGACCTGTTTCGGCTTTCCGGGTTCCCGTTTTAATGTCACTCCAAAGAGTTTTCCGCTCCAAAACTGGCGCACCTGGTGTTAGTTTTTCGTTTTGAACACCTGGCTTTCCAGTGTAAACACCTCTCTGTTTTTTGAAGGGTCGACATCATGCCCTCAAAACATTGGGTATTGGGTGAAGGGAAATGATTTCTGGGTGCCCTGAACGGGCAACTGTAGAATCCACCTTGCCCAGGGTCCACATTTCCACCCACAATCCTCATACTTCTGGTTCCCTACTTGGGTGTTGTGGGACTTAGCTAAATGGTTAACCCTGGCTATAGGGGATTTGCAACCACGGTAAATGGGTTACAACTGGGGTTACAAACCACTTAGCGATTCGTCCCAAACCATCCAAGTAAAGGCGCAAAGGAAATCCGCATTTCTGTTCAACCATCATCTCCAGGAATTTCTCCAGGAACTTAGCCCAAACAGCTGGTTGTTTGTGGGCATTTGTGTAATTTCCCTGAGAATGTCCTGGTTGCCCCTATCCTCAAAGTATTGAACCCATGGTTTTTTTGAGGAAGATCAATATTGATGTTCACATTGGTCTTCTTTTTGGTTGTTTTGCTAACGAAAAATAGATGGCGATTCCTGGTTTTTACCTGGTGGTTGCAACTCATCTACCAGGGAAACCCGACTCTATGTCCAACCTAAAAGGACACCTATTAATTTTCAGTTTTCCAACGGTTTCTTAGAGCATTGAGTCAGATCCCAAGATTTCGATCGGCCGATCCGCCGATCCGCCGGTCTGGTCGGTGAGGATTTTTGGCGGGTCGCAGGACTGGGCCTGGAACGCGCTGGACGTCTTCATTGTCTTGAGCTCCCTCTGGGACGTCATCGCGGCTGGGGCGCCAACTTCCGGGCAGAAACTTTTTGGAGTTTCCGTTGTTCCCTTTTTTTGGGGTTCCGTTCCCCCCCCCCCAAAAAAAACGGGCGGCATGGGCGGTTTTGTGAGTTTATCAGAACCAGGTTCTTTTGGCTCACTTCCCAAGTTCCGTGTCGGAAGTTGTTTTTTGGCTTTTTGCAGTTGCCAAGTTGCCAGTCCGCTCGTTCGGAACTTCGTTTTTTGGTTGGGGGTCCCACCTGGAGTCTCCCTCTGACCCTTTAAAAATGGGTCAATGACCAACCAATATTTTAGGTAATGACCCACCATTTGTTATTCGGGTCAGAAGGAGACTCTAGGCAGTTTTGAGGTGGCCCCAAAAGGTGAGGCTTTCCCAGATCCCAGGCGGTTCGCTATGCTGGGAATCCCAGCGCAGCGGTTTTCCTAGAGTCTCCTTCTGGCCCTTGAAAAATGGTTGGTCATTACCTAAAATAATGGTTGGTCATTGACCCATTTTTAAAGGGTCATGGAGACTCCAGGTTCTGTTTGATTTTTAGATCGGGTCGTTTCCTTGATTATTCAGGTAAATGGATCCCTCCGGCTTGGTCACTTTGCAGTGAAGCTCATTTGGTATGACAGAAAGTGGCTGTAGAAGCTGTTTTCGCTAGCACCGTAGCCTGCCAAGCGTCTTCATAGAAAAATGGATCCACTGGGGCAACGATCTTCTGGGTCGCCTGAACGGGCAATTGAGGTGGACATTGTCGAGGCGGTGATGCAGTCCCAGAATGTGGATAGCATTGCCGGGATGAGCCTTCGATGTGAAGAGCCAGCCGAAAAGAGCCCATATGGGGTTGCCTTGAAATCAGGGGCCCAAGCACATGGTGGGTCCTGCAAAAACGGGCACCCTCTGGCCATCAATCTTAGTTTAAACCTCAGCTTCGGGTCCGCAAGTTAAGATTCATTCCCAGACCTGGAAATCTTAAGGTGTGTAAAAACTCCTCCGTGTTGAACGAAAACTGATTTTTACGCCGGACCGGACCTCCAAGGTGTTGAACCTCATCATCTTGGGCATGTTTCAGGTTGCGTTTGATGCTTAGGGTAGTAATTCAGCTTCTATAATTTGTGGTTTGGAGGCTAGGTGGTGCTTTCCCCTGTGTCTCCAACAAGTACGGCTTCAACTCCAAATCCACCAACCAGTTCTAAGGCTTACCCTCACTGGGGGAAACAAAAAAAGCCACCTTGCGCCACCTTGCACCCTGGGCTCACCAAGTCACCTTGCGAACCTCCAAATCCAAATCCAAAACCCACCAGTTCCAAGGCACACCCAGCCTGACCGAACGAAGCAGCCTGGTTCCGAAGCGCGGAACCCCCGGGCACCAGAGCGAATCGGACAACTAGGTCCCCGGTTCCCCCACTAAAATAGACTACATTAAAAAAAAAGTTGGTACCCTTATTCCAACCTCTCAAATCTGGAGGACCCAGAAGTCGCGCCTGCGCCTCACCGAGAATCTCGTTTGGAAAACCGAGGAGCGGTCTCAAGGTTACCCCACTTATAGGTTACAACCCACCCAGTTGGTTGAACCTGACCGAAACTCGCCAAAAAAAAAAGCAAACCGTTGAGACGAATCCCAAAAAAAAACGCCAACCAGTTCTAAGGCGGTCTCAAGTCCTTCCGAGGAGCGGTCTCAAGTCCTTCCGCATCATCCGCCTCACGCGGCTGCTGCGCACCGCCCAGTTCGTCCGGATCTTCCGCTTCGTCATGGCGCTGAGGAGCGCTGACGAGCGCTTCGTTCGAGCGAGCCAGCGATTTTTTTTTTCCCGCGGGGGAGGGAACAAAAACACACCTGGAGTCTCCTTCTGGCCCTTAAAAAATGGTTGGTCGTTACCCAAAATGATGGTTGGTCATTGACCCATTTTTAAAGGGTCATGGAGACTCCAGGCACACACAGACACAGCAGGATCCAGAGCGGTCCGTTGGGTTCACCTGTTTTTGGTGTGTGGTGATTCTGTGTGCGTGTGTTTTTGTTCGATTGTGTTTGTGTCTATGTGTGTGTGTGTTTAGTGTGTGTGTGTGTGTGGGTGATTTGTGTGATTGTGTGAGTGTGTGATTGTGTGATTGTGTGATTGTGTGAGTGTGTCAGTGTGTGATTGTGTGATTGTGTGTGTGTGGGTGATTTGTGTGATTGTGTGAGTGTGTGATTGTGTGATTGTGTGATTGTGTGAGTGTGTCAGTGTGTGATTGTGTGATTGTGTGATTGTGTGTTTGTGTGTTTGTGTGTTTGTGTGTTTGCTTGCTAGCTTGCTTGCTTGCTGGCCTGTTTCTTTGTTTGTTTGTTTGATTGATTGATTGGTTGATTGATTGATTGATTGATTGATTGATTGATTGATTGATTGATTGATTGATTGTGCGGGTGTATTTTGTGTTTTGGAGGATGCCCTTTTCTTGGGATTGCTTCAGAGGGCACGAAAGGACCGCGACCATTTTTTGTGAGTGACCCTCAGGAAACCAACGCCGCCTTGCGCAAGAAATGCTTGATCCCATCCAAGCCTCAACCAAAGCTTCTGGTGATGGTGTTGAAAACAATGCTGGAGGTGAACAACAAAACGATGCTGGAGATGTTGACGGTGCTGGTGCAACACAGGAATATTTCACAGCCGAACCCAGGAGAAAACAAACTAGGAATAACAACTCTCGCCAAATGTTTAAAGGGGAGATATGAGGAGCCTGGTGGTTTTCTGTTGGTTTTCTGAAATAGCCAACCAAGAGGGGTTTCCCAGAACATTGTGTTTGACAATTTTAAGGCAATGCTTGAATGGGGCACAAAACTTGACCCCTGTCACTGTCCCAGACCGGTGGGTGTTGTCCTTCAACTTTTGTTTGTAAGGACGGGCCCCTTACAGATCAAATGGCTGGCGGATGTTTCTCCATGTTGACTATAGGTCCCCCTTTTACCTTTTTTTGGGGAGGGTTCTCCTACTAAAAAACTGAAATAGACTGCAGATAAAAGTTGGTACCCTTATTGTAACCTCTCGTCTACTGGAGCACCTAGGTATTAAGAGCCGTCGGTTGTCTGGAAGCTGTTCTTGCAGGGGAACCCCCCTGATCAATAACTGGCGGGTGTATTAATCAGGGGTATATAATCGCTACCCTGAAAAAATAGAAGTCATCAACCGTAATTTTGGGACGATCGCCCGGTTTTCTGGGTACCTAGACTCTCCTTCTGAACCGAAATCAAAATGGGCCCATGATTCCAACCATTATTTTGGGTAGTGATCCCCTTTTTCAAGGGTTGGATTCGGGTAGGTTCCAGGTAGAAAAAGGCAGCCATGGATTCGTGGGCAAGAAAAAGAACGGCCACTGCCGGCACATGTCTGATCTGGGGCCTCTGGAGTCTCCTGACCTGGATCTGTTCTTTCGTCTCACTCCGAGAGTTCCTGGACTTGAAGCCTTTTGAGAAGCTTTGTCAAACCAAAAGCTTGGCTAGCTGTTTCTTCGGCCAATCCACTCGTTCGGAAGTGAGGTAGTTTTTGAATCGCGGTGTGCCCCATGCTTAAATTAACATCCCTACATTTGGTCTATTGAATTAGTAGGTGAGAAATAATCATGGTTAATGTTGGACCTGCATCAGTGTGACAGTCAACAGTGGAACACAATACAGGTTACTGCCATTCAAGCGTGTCCAATGCCCCTTGTAGGAGTTTTGAAGGTGCGAAGTTGGGAGTATCCGAGGCACCACTTTGGGTTACCCAAAACGGGGACCGAATAAAAGAGGGTGAATCTTGGCTCCCAGCCTTCCGTTGGTTTAGTGCCAGTTTCCCCATTCAACCCACAGAAAAATGTTCGACTAGCAGATTTAGTTAGTTTAGTGCCAGTTTCCCCATTCAACCCTCTAAAACAGTGTTCGATTTTTAGCAGACCAGACAACGGACAGCCCTGTGATTGTTGCCTTCATGCCATTTTTCGGGGTTTGTTGAGCAACTTCCGCAGGACCCTGGTGACCTCGATCATCCACACCAGCAAAGCCTTGGTCTGGGCGCTGGTTCTGCTGCTACTGATCGAGTACGTATTTGCGGTCCTGTTTACCCAGGATCGGGAGCCCAGAAAGTCGGTTTTCCTTTTGTTCATACGTAGTGTCGTTCATTTTGTAAACCATTGTTTGTTGGGTTGTTGTTGTTCTTTTTGTTGAAGTGTTTTTTTTTTTTTTTTTTTTTTTTTAGGTGTTTGAATTGGTTGATTGCATTTGTAAACTTAATCGACGGTTTTGTTGTTCATCAAACAATAGAGGAATGGCATGATTATTTTCTTCAATAAAACTTGTTGGTTGAAATTGTAAACTGATAAGTGTTCATGCGTTTGTTTTTTTGATAAGAAGGGTTTGCAACATTAAATCGCGGCAACATGTTTACGAACAGTAGTATGAGCAGAACGAGTTCACCGATGCAGAATATGTCCATGATGTATTCTGCATCATTCGTGAGCCGAGAAACCGCTTAGGGCCGACTTTTCAGACCGATGCGAGGATATCCCCCAGGCAAAGCGAATCAACCTTGTAATATGGAATCTCTAAGGGGGGTACCTGGAGTCTCCATAACCCTTTAAAAATGGGTCAATGACCCCATTATTTTAGGTAATGACCCCATGTTTTAAGGGTCATGGAGAGTCTAGGTAGCTGATGGCCCGTTTCGTGATCCTGATTCCCCCTGCGGTTCCTTCCCGGGCTCCGTAGCGAGCCTTAGGGACCCCCCAAAGAAAATGCGACTTTCATTTTTTCCCCCGCTTGGGTTATCTCTTTTCGTGGCCCGGAAAGATGAAGCCTTGGGTTATCTTTTGTTATTTCTGGTTTTTCGAAAGGGCTGAGTATGGCTTACCCCCAGAATTTGGATTCCATGTACCGAATCGGACTGCCCAACAGTTCGCCGCGGAATGGATCTCGCTGTTCCAACTTGGATGGCTCATCGTTTTGTAGGTTGGACCCCCGAAACGCACCAAAACCACTTCCGTGTTCCTCTTGTCCCGTTCAAAACTACCAAAAAAGGGGGACCGAGCCGAGTCTCAAAAACAGACACGACCATTCATTCAGGGAAGGGTGCCCCTTTAAAATCAACCGACCAAGGGTGGTATGCCAATGTGTTCTCATGTTCAGAGATTGTTTGGGCCATTCAGTACTATCTTACTTCCATGTGCGTTTCAGAATATGTTGATTTTCCTTTGCTGGTTTTACGGGGGCTCTATCACTACTGGAGGCATATTGATTTCTCCATTTCTCCATGGGACTTGTGGCAAGACATCAGGTTACCCCAATTTGTGGTTTGGGTAGGCAGCTTGGGGATTTGAAGCCCAAGTCCTTGCGAAACCAAATGGATTAAGAAGCCACCAAGCCAAACCGCCAACTAGGGTAAGGTTAGCTCTTTTTTGCCTGTTTGAAGGCAAACCAAAAGGAAATAATCTTTTCCGCTGGTATCTACCTCTGCCTGCAAACCAAAAGAACAAAAAAACAAGAAAAAAAACAGTTTGAGACCCGCCACACGAAGCGCCCGAGGTGGTGAACGACATCATCGCGGAGGGGGAGGTGGTCCTCTCGCCTGCGGAGTCGGAGCTGGCCTTGAACTACTTCGGGTCCTTGACGGCGGGAGATCTCAGACGGTTTGCTCCCTTTGGACATGGTTGTGGTTGGGAAAACATGGTGTCATTTGTGTTTTAGTGTCATTTTGGTTTCGACTTTTTGTGTTTCGACTTTTTTGGTTTCGACTTTTTCGATTTTTTTGTCCATTGTGTTTATTGTGTTTATTGACCATTTTTCCATTGACCATGTGTCATAAACTTGTGTTTAGTGTGTTTTAGTCCAGTTTTTGTTTCCCTTTGTTTTTTTCCCCCTTGGGGGCCCGAAACGCACCAAACCCCGAAAAAAACTCACTTCGCACTTCGCGAGTTGGACTCTACACTTAAGACCATTTGTTGTTTCCCTCTGTTATGTTGTCCCCCTTTGGAGCCAAAACGCACCAACCCCCAACAACTCACTCGTTTTTCCCCTTTGGGGCCAAAACACACCAACCCCCAACAACTCACTTCGCGAGTTCCTGGAGAACAAAATATATGGGGAAGACCATTTGTGAGTGGCCCTTTTGGGGGTGTGGTTGCTTGCTTGCTTGCTTGCTTGCTTGCTTGCTTGCTTGCTTGTGTTTTCTTGTAAACAGGATTATAGGAAGAAACCCTAGTGGTTCCGAACCAAACACAAATTTTAGTGTCCTATATGGGTGTATGTTGCTTGCGTGTTTCTTTTTTTTTTGCAGGGCTATAAGAATGGAACACTTTTTTGTTACAAGTAATAGGAATCAACCTTGCTAGCGGTTTCGAACCAAACACAAATCCGCTGGTTTGGGACAGCCCCACTCCGCAGCGGTTTCCGTTCGGCCCGTCTCAGGACTCCATGCTGACGCTCTTCCTGTGCATCAGCGGGGGTGTGAGCTGGGAGCTGGTGCTCAAACCTTTGAGGACTCTTTCCGGGGCCTTGGCGTCTCGTCCGGAAGAATTCGCTCAAGTAGGGGGTCATTACGTGTACCTGGAGTCTCCATGACCCTTTAAAAATGGGTCAATGACCCCATTATTTTAGGTAATGACCTCATTTTTTAAGGGTCATGGAGACTCTAGGTACTCCCCGAGCTCCGTGAATCGGACTTTCGTCACTTTTCGGGGGCTGGAGCATTCGTGCGGGATCTCTTTCTTCTTTCAGGGTTTGGATTTATTGTAACCCGAAGGGTCCCAGAACCATGGGAGGAAGCACGTTGACCCTTTTTGGAGCCACTTGGACCGAAGCACATCCTCACAAAGTACGTGTTCAACTCATCGTTTGCTTGGGTTGTTAGTCATTCTCCCATTTAACCTTTCAATCAGCAAACAGTTGGCTTTTTTACATGGACGCTCAGTCCGGCGCAGATTTCAATATTTTTCAGCCCTTCTAGGCGACGCCGATTGTAATGGAGTCTGAGAGGACCTTTCCCTAGGAGCCCAAGACCTAAATATGAGGGCCTTGACTGCTCACAGCATCAAATAAGGAGGTCGTGGGCTCCTAGGGATGTGGAGGCATGTGACTACGTAACGGCTAGATCGGAATTTGGACCCGCAACATGTTGTTTGTTGGTTTCCCTTTGAAACAAAAGTGAACAAGTGTACCCTGAAATTCCTTTAAGGGGGTAGGGATCATCATGGACCCCTTGAGAGATTAGACAAGAGAACCCTAAGAAACCATGACCATGCCCACAAGCGTTGACCGTGTCACATATGGAAATCCAGTTGGTCAGCCAGAAGGAACAACCAAGGCTGAGTGTGCCGAGCCTCAACAAAGCAGCCGTATGTGCCATGGTCAGAAGACCCTTTTGTTTGGGGTTACTAGGGGTGTTCTCCACCTAGTATCCATTTAAGCTAGGTCCCCCAGTAGTGCCCTTTTACCCTTTTCTTATTCTAAGCTCTGTACTGGAGGACCTAGTAAGGGTTCTTATTGCGGAACCATGGCCATGAGCCACATAAGGAGCTTTGACCATGGCACATATGGCCGCTAAGAAAGCCATGGCCCACTCCAAACTTGCAAAGCTCTATTGGTTCACGAGCCGGGCGAGTAAGTGAAGTGCGACCCAGGCACATTCTTTCCCGGGGGTTTCGGCACCACCATTAAAACAAAGGGGGGGAAAAGTAACCACCATAGTGTACCTTTCAGGAGTAGCTCATCCAAATTGGGCCCGTCCTGGCCATCCCTCTCCCCCTGATGGGGGCAAGGAAGCCTAGGGCTCTGCTGTTAGAATCTTGGGACCTCGACACAAAAACACGTGTCTTACCTCTTAAAAACACAACTTTTCAACCTTTTGGGTAACATGGGCTATATGTCTGTAAAAGATTAACTTCCCCAGGGCTTGGAGTTTTAAGGGGTAAGGTTTTGCAGGCAACGGACATCCCGGCCCAGGGTCCTATGCTTGGGACATGTCCGATTTCCAGTGGTCCTGAGCATCTCCATGGGCTTCCCCCTAAAACCCATTCAAACAGAGGGGAGCCACAATTTTCAGACTGAGGGATGCGTAGACTCAAGATGGGGATGTGGGGTCCCTTCATTTCGGTTTTGAATGCATGGGGGATCGCCCTGAATTGGGCGGCTCATAGCCTCCGTTATACCCCCCCAAATGAAAAAAAACAGTGTTGTTGTAACCCCTCTCTGTTTGTGCAGTCTGCCCTTCTGGTCTTTGGCAATTAGGTTCAGAGTTAGACAAGTCGTCCTCAAGGACGCCCTGCAGTTGACCAACATGTCCAGGTTCCAAGTCGATTGCCCTTTTGGACCCATATGCCCGCGCCCAGGTGGCCTGCTTGTTGATCTACGTCTTCTTTACCTACTTCTGCGTTTTGAATGTCGTGACCGCGGTGCCGCTCGGATCATCTGACGTAGGTTGACGAATTGATCAACTGTGCCGGGGGTAGCTCCAACATTGGAATAGGTCTCCCAGTGGTGCCCCTTTACCCTCTTGTTTTTGGGGGGAGGGTTCCCCTACTCAAATAGACTACAGAAAAAAGTTGGTAGCCTCATTCTAACCTCTCTACTGGAGGACCTAGAAGGAATTCCTATGGGACGCACCCAGTCAGGGAACAGCACCGTTAAGGTCCTCTGCCCTGTGTCCTCCATCGCAGGTCTGTCTTTGGACCGGAGCTCCTTCCTCACTTGGCGAATGGATCAAGAAGGGAACAAACTGCCCTGAGGACCCAAAGGAACAGCTGCTTGGATGGTCTGGGACGAATCGCGAAAAATTAGCAATCCTGGTTTTGGGGGACTTACACCCATGGTAAGTGGTTAAGGGTTACTAACCACTTGGGTATCTCCCAGATTATCGAAGTTGTGCAACAAGGACGAGGGTGGGAAAGCCGGAAGCAGACCCATCGCATCCCATCGCCGCGTCGAATCGATCGATGAGGTTCTGTCAGAGCGCCATCGAGAGCGCTCAGAACGACCAGCTAACGGTGATCCAGGCACGGCTCGTTGCAGGGGGTTTGCAGAGGTCCCCCAGCTAGGTGCCCTTGCTCACGCCTTTTTTGGGGGAGGGTTCCCCCACTGAAATAGACTACAGAAAAATGTTGGTACCCTTATTCTAACCTCTCTACTGGAGGACCTAGTAAAGGCAGCCCGAAAGCAAACCAGCTCCAGTCGGCCAAAGGCGTGCTTTTTCTTTTTTCTTTCGGGGCCTTGCAAGCGACATCCGAAAGACTACCGGCTCTGAATGGCGGTTTACGGGAACAAAACCAAGCCTAGCCAGTGCTATCAGTTACACCTACAATAAATAGGTAACCAGCGTTTCTTTGCTCCCTGGAGTCTCCATGACCCTTCAAAAATGGTTGTTGATTCCCCAAAATCATGGTTGGTCATTGACCCATTTTATTTCGGGTCAGATCCGGAGACTCCAGGTCTAGGGTTTGCTCATAGGTTTCCTCCCTCCATGCCGATGCCTTCCGGTGATCGCCATATGGCAGGCCATGCTCTTGAACAAGGAGCAGCACATTCAGACGCCTGGCACAAGGCCGCCGCGTTCTTTCCATTTGCTGAAATGAATTTGCTTTAGGTTTCATGTTGGTGGGAGGGGAAGAAACACCTACGGTTTTCGGACCCATACATCACCAACTTCCATATATTAGTTATTTCCCCTGTTGATTTTAGAGGATGAATCTATCACCACTGGACACGATTTCTCACTTTTGTCAGGTGGCTTAAACAAATGAAAGTTGTGGGTTGCGAGACACACAGAGAGACACAGAGAGAGACACACAGAGAGAGACACAGAGAGACACACAGACAAACACACTGAGAGTCACACAGAGAGACACAGAGAGACACACAGAGAGACACACAGAGAGACACACAGAGAGACACACTGAGAGACACACTGAGAGTCACACAGAGAGACACACTGAGAGTCACACAGAGAGACACAGAGAGACACACAGAGAGACACACAGAGAGACACACACAGAGACACAGAGAGACACAGAGAGACACAGACGGCACTGGGAGGGTTATAACCCACTAGGTCCTCTTAAGTGGACTTAACCCTGTCATGGTTCTTTTTGCACCCAGGTGGCTAACCACTCACCAACTTGGCAGCGAACATGCATAGACTTACTTGCTCAGTGGACTGGCCAAAAAAGTTCTCAAGTATTGTTCTTTTCTTTTTTTTACCATATATATATAAATAAATATATATATATTATAGTAGGTGACCCTTAACTATTTCCCCTTTGGTTTTCAATGTTCCCTTACACAGGCAGATGCATCCACTGGGGGCAAAAGCTTAAACCGCCCGTTTTGTGGGTTTGAGGGAAAATACAGGACACCACCCATGCGGTGTGTGCCCAACACCTTGAGGTCACAGACCTTGGAATGGAAATGGGATGGTCCTGAGACGAAGCTTTTTCTGAGTTTTTGGAGACCTCGGCATTTGAGAACGTGCACGTTTTTTCGGCTGGTCTTGAGACGATGCAAGCTGTTCAGGAACTTTCAACATGCTGGTGCTAATCTTCTTAAGGCGAAAAGCAAAGGGGGTAAGCTTATTATTGTTTGCTGCTATGACACCTAAAGCTTTTGTATTCTAAGACCATCCAAACCAGCAATCCAAACTACCACTAGGGCTTTGTTTCTTCATGTGGATGTAAGTTTGAGTGAATGCTTTGGCGGGAACCATCTCCAAGGTGTGACTTTCCCCGTTTTGTATAGTCGTTGAATTACAAAGTCCTCCATTCCGGATCAAATCTAAAATCAAACCTCCCCCCAAGCTTTGAACCAATCCAAACCAATTAGGGAGGCTGCCCCTGCCGTCCAACACCCTCCTGTTTTAGGGTATGTTGTTGGAAACCCTTTCAGGGATAAATACCTCCTTTCTTAGTAGTGGGTTGGCGTGATACCCTAAAAAGAGGCGCCGTATTGGGTGGTTGCGGGGGCAGGGGGATGGCTTGTGTTGGGTACTCTTGCTGCAAGATGCTGGGTTGACGGGGGGGGTTGCCCGGGCTTTCATGCTGCCCCACACATGCCGATCCTCGTCCAAGAGTGACCGTCATTCGGTCCGGGCAAAGCCCCCCGGCAACCCAACATGTTGATCTTAGGAAGATCCAAGAGCTCTTTGAGAAGCTTGGAGCGGACGAATCCGGCGTCATTACCCTGAAGATCTTCCAGGACTGCCAGTGACCCGCGAACTGTTGGGTAGATGACCGCATGGTTTCTTGGTCCCCCAGCTAGGCGCCTTTTCTCGCCCTTTTTTCCATTGGGAGGGGCCCCCTAGTAAAATAGACATCCTGAAGAAGGTTGGTACCCTTATTCTAACCTCTCTTTTGGAGGACCTAGGTTTTAAGTTTCATGGAGACTGCAAGTACGATTTTTGATCAAGTGGATTGGCCAGAACAAGTAACCCAGCTTGTTGCATGCCACAAGAACTCACTCCCCGCGTGGTTTGACGAAAAGAACGTCTACCTAGAGTCTCCATGACCCTTAAAAAATGGGGTCATTACCTAAAATAATGGGGTCATTGACCCATTTTTAAAGGATCATGGAGACTCCAGGTAAACTTTGTGTTTCCCACTATGGTTTTCCCTTAAAAGAGCAAACTCCGGGAACACAGGAAGTGAGAAGAGCGAATGGTCCAGCCCCAAAACGTGCCTCAATTCCGAAACGGAGCGGAACGCGAGAGTGAGGGGAATCTAGACTGCACGGATTCCGTTTCATATGTACCTGGAGTCTCCATGAGCCAAAATCAAGAAGTCATATGGACCATGCAGACTCCAGGCATAACGGTTGATCCTTCCACTTAAAAAAAAAGGAAAATGGTTTCGTTTTTGAAGGATGTACATCAAGGCTTCTGCGCGTTTGACCCCCCGAATCGGGGCGAGCTTAAAATCCATAAATAGGCAAACTGAGATGGGTTTCTCTCAAAACAAAGGAATCGATTTTGGGGTCAGGAGCAGACCCCATGTACTAGTTTCGGGTTTATGACTTAATAACTTATGCAACCTTGTGTTGGTTGCTGTTGACCGACCCGTCTGCAAAACAAGTTCTCTTCACTTTTTGTGGGTAACCTACTTGAATGCTCAACCAACATTAGGCAAGTAGGTTATAACCATTGGCAAGTGGTTGGTAACTGGGGTGATCGTCCCCTGATAGCCGCGGTTATGACCTACTAAGTTGGTTAAGCATCAAAGAATATGGATCCGCTGCCAAATATCCATACCTGGAGTCTCCATGACC